GAAAAAAAATATTTGGGGAAGCATCATTAAATGTTTTCCTCTTTAACTTCATTAGGTTCTTAAAGTTTACAAAAAACCTAGGAATGAAAGACCATTTAAGGCTTGCCAGCCAAGCATACTGTTCACAAAAACTCCACGCTCATTCAAGTGAGCTGTCACGTGTATCTCACATGAGTTTCCGTTCTTGTTCAAATGAATGAAATAAAAAGCCAAGAGAATTTTTTTGAATTCCATCAAAATGACACTTCAAGAAAGCCAAAAAAGGAGATGAAGAATAGAAAAACGCCAGCAGAATCTATTGCTCAACATTATTTTCGTGTCTAATCGTCGTTGAAACATCAGGATTGAAAAGTAAACCAGTCAGTTCTGACTGGATAACATCTTTGCTTTTATGTCAAAAAATACAAAATAACATACCAATAGCCATGCATGGAAATCTCTTTCTAATGTGGCTGGTGATGTGACATCGATGATACAACTACAAGCATGCGAACTTCCAGCGCAATTACATGATGATGTCGAGACAACATCCTCCATGCTGTCTAAGAAAAACGAAAAATTAATAATTATCTCATTTCCTTTTAAAGACATAAACAAATGACCGTTACGATTGAGGAACTTCAAACAGAAACTACAACAACATAGATAACACCTGTGCCAAGATATCTTAGAAATCTAATGTACTGTATACTATAGTCTACCGTTTTCATATTGGGATCACTTTCACTGTAGCTAAACTCAATGAGATATACTTGGATGGAATACTTCTAATGCTTGACAATGGTTGGAACTCCTATTGAAGAGTTTTGTATACCAATCAGTTTTTGAAAAAATTATTTTGAAAGTTCAGAAACAACAGAAGTAGTTATCTGTCTAGACGGAAGAACAGTTTGTTGGTGTTAAACTATTTCTCATAATTTATCATTTTTTCTTCGCAGATCATTTCAAAGATGAGATGGACCATTATCAAAGAAAAAAAAAGATTTATAAAACTTGAATAAAAAAAAGAGAAAAACAAGTTTTTACAAAGAATCGAAGAGATAGTTTCAAACAGTTAATCATCAAATATTTCTTGTGAAAAGAAAACTTTGAGAACACTAGCACAACAGTCAGTAGATCAACTCATGAACATTTAGACAACAATATATGAAAAAAGGATTTGAGAATAAAAAAAAATTGCTGTGAGTACTATTCTTAGGAGAGTAAAGTAAGGAGAGAGAGAAAATATAACAAAAGCAAACCAGACAGAGAGATGAACTGTTTTCGCTTTCTCTCATCCTCTCTCTTTCTATCTTTCAAAGATATCTTTACCTACCAATAAGGAATCTTTCTCAGCTTCTACACTTCTCTATCTCTATTCCTCCATCTATCTATTCATACATCTTTTTCCCTCTTTATTTTTCCTTTTTTTCTCTCTCTCCATCTTATTCCATATTTCATCTGGTTGTTACAACAGTTCATTTTAAATCTCTACATTAGCAATAACTCTCAAATGTTTTTTTTTTATATTCTGTCTTTCTACTTTTGTCTTGTTATCTAGCTTCTCTTCTTCTCTTCATGTCATATAATCATCTAGCTTTATCTTGTTGCAATTGCTAGGAAGCTACCAGTTTTCTAGGTGTTGCTAGTTAATATATCTGTCTAGTCCCTCCTCTTCTATACAGTCTCCTTCATAAAAGCTTTTCTTTTTTTCCTGTCGTTTTGTTCCTTCATCGTTTGAGATGACAACAAACAACAACAACATTAACATGTAATAGATGAGTATAGACCAAAGAGAAAAATAACTTGGGGAGTGCTAGCGAAACTCTGAAAATGGGAAAATCCAATTTCGATTTGAAGACATCACTGTTGTTACTCATCTTACTGCAATTATATCTCCGATTGTCTCAACAGGATAATTACAAAGAATGGGAAGTCAATGTGCTTTGTTGAAGACGATACACTAGCTCCCCATACGCATAGTAGACATACAAGCCTTTTGACCTTCTTCACCGATGCGTCACCGTTCATTTAATCGTGAACCAACTGAAACGAAATGAAAAAAGTTGTTTTTATATGTCCTCTAGAATTTGTTGAACCAATCAGCGGAGAGCACGTACGCATTACCCTATCACACAACAGTAATATATCAAGGTTTATTTTTGGAAAACTTCACCTGCGACTTCACCTGTTAAGACTTCCCCTAAAGCGGAAGAAGAAATTATCTTCTGTTGGTTAATGATCTACGACTTCCGTGTTTGGTGTAGCTGTAGATCAGAACAAATCTTTCGATTCGATCTTTTTCTACTCAGTGAACACACGGAGCATCATGTTATGTGGTCAGAAGGAACGATAGCAACGTATTTTGGTTAACGTTTCAGGTGCAATATCAAAATAGCAATAGTGTCAAAATATTCTGAATAGGAGTATTTAAATTGTTTCAAAGCCATTAAAATATTCCGGAAGCAAGGTGAATCACCTGATCCGTTTGCAGTCACAAAATGATTACCAGCATTCAGTTGAGCTTGTTTGTTCCCAACAAAATAATTTCTCAAAAATATCATTCTGCGTGGTCATTTCGATTGAACTGGTTGTTTTTTTTTGTTGCAAAATTCGCTTTCCGCGAAAAGATGGAATATCTTCTGTTTTCTTCTTCTTTCATAGTGTTTTCTATTCTCTTTCCATACATTTTATTAAAATGTTCCGAGAAGAAGCAGGAATCAGTAAGTGTTTTGGTAATCTTTATGTTTTGAAACGTTTTCTCCTTACAGAAAGCGAGATATCGCCCAACTACCCCTAAGGTTTCTATTTTCTGATGTCAATGACAGGTTTTAATACAGTTCTGTTCAGGCAGTCAAAGAAAAAACAACCAGAGTGGAAGAGAAAGTGCGAGTGCCTACATTCGAATGGGAAGCTTTACTAGATGAGACTCAAGTATGAAGACAAAGTAAAAGCTCTTCATACACTGGTTTTCAGATAGATAGTGCTGAGGTACCATTGCTGAAGGAAGAAATCAGTAAGAAATCTGAAGAAGAAAACGAAAAGAATGTGAGTTCATGGTGCTAACATCGATCAACTCCCTCTAAGGCCTTACGAACCGCTTTGGAGCTCAAGGCTAAGCGCATACATTCACCTGGCAAAAGAAAAAATGAAAGCAAAAACCACAAGAAGGTTTTTATATTCATATTTTATTCCTAAAACATATTTACAGGAATGCCAAGGTAATTATTCAAACTGCATTTCGAAGCTGTTCGATTTTCAGTAACTCTTAGTACTCGTCGTTTAGTGTGGAAAGACAAGGGTGGCGAACAGGTAACCCTATTAGTCTCATGATTAGATCAAAACCATTTTCTTTGAAAGAAAGTGTACATGACCAATAAAGGAAAAGAGTTTCAAGCAATCAAATTATGTTGTGCAAACAATCTCTATGGGTTGCAAGCTTTCTTTAATGATAATCTTTTGATTTTTAGAGTGCGACCCGTATTCTCTTATATTGAACCGGGGAGGACAGCTGAGTTCCTTATCAAGAGGAAAGAAGGAGCTATAAATAAGGATAAGATTGTGGTTTGCACCGCACCGGTTAGTAAGAAGACATTCAATTATTACATTTTTTAATCAAATTTTTAAGTGTTCCATTGAACAGAAGGATGCTCTAAAGAATTTTTTCAAACATGCGCGTTCGCTCTCGACCCAAAACATCATGATGGTTGGAGAGAAGTAGTGTGGTGCATCTCGCGTTCTCATTTTTCTTATTCGTCTCATTCCGTTTTTGCTACAGCTATATAAGAAGAAAAAGATTTTTTTTTCCGGCAAGCAGTGTTTTTGGCTCATTGTCGATTTTGGATTTTTGATGGGAAGCCGTAATAGCCTACTCGCGACTATAATTATATTTCGAGACGACCTTTACAGTCGTTATGTGCTTCCTTATTCGAAAGCTGGTTCACCTTTGAACATATTATCTTTTCTTGAACTGCCTTAAGCTAATAGGCTATCATCCAATCTAGAGAATTATTTGTTTATTATGCATAACGTCTGCTCTTTGTCCTCGTCTTCACTCTGTTCTCTCTCTCTTTATTTTATGCTCTTTATTCGCTATGTACTCTGCCGTTACTACCTTTTCTCTATTCTCAACAAGCCACACACATACATACAACAGACATACACACACACATACACACACAAGAAGGCTCAACCAACGATAAGCAGTTCTGTTCGTCTGAGCACTCGCTTTCATTTCCTTTTCATCAATTTTCTTTCCAACACATCTCACTGTTTCATGGTTGCCATCGTTACTTCATACGCTACAGAGGTCATTCCCATGTACCTTTGATGGCTTCTCTCTTCTCTCATTTCTCTCTCTTTCTGTTTCTATTTTTAAAAAACATCAAATGATTTTCACTTCAACTATAGACTGTTTCCATTTATTCATTTGTTGAGCCAATTTAACCACATTTTGAGTGATTCATTCACCTCTCTTCTCTCTCTTCTCCTTTTCTCTCTTCAATTTTTTGCGCTCTTGGCTATCTTCCACTTCACTATTGTGGCGAACAGTATTCAGTCTTCTCTTGTTCATTCGTTCTCTCTTTAAATTTGGTGCTTCTCTTTCATCTCTTTCCCTCTTTCATTTGTTTTGCCTGTTCGTTCGCTCGGCTCAGTACCAATAGCCTTTTGTCCTTTTGGACCACCATATTAGAATGCGAAAGTTCGCAAAGAACCTTTTTCCAACTAGCTGATTGTGTTATAATCATTGAAGCTCTTAACTATTCATTCTCTTATTCATCTAGTTTATTCATTAACTTCCATCACAAATCGTATTAATCAGCCGTTTTTACCCATTCATTCCAATATTTCCTGATTTTATATAGGTCAGATCAATGTTTGCTTACAAAAGAATGTACCAGTACTCTTCTCTGCTATCCGCAGTAACCTTCTCTTTCAATTATTTCATTCTTTTTCAGATTCTACTCTTAACCTCTCAATCTATTTTTTATTCACTGTTCATCAATCATTAACTGAATTCAATGGGTTTTTGGGATCCGGCCCTCTGGCTTCCACGGGATGTCGAATGGCATCGGATTCCGCCACAATTCAAAGATTTGATATATCCAATCTATTTGGCCATACCATTAGTCATAGTCAGGTAAGCATATCTATAATCTTCGGTTTAACTATCTGATTCATCGTATTATTTTGTGTTTCCATATTTGACTCTGATAGATTGAACATCATTTGTACATGTTATGTATCATTTTAAATGTTCCTCATCTCCATTTAAAGATGTAAAAGATGGTTTGATTGATAACCTTTTAAATCTAATCATTTAGGTCACATTTTGATTTCATAGTTAGCTTTATAGAATATTTTGAATTTTTAATCAAAAAGTCTTTCTGTGATGATAGAGAGAGAAGGTAAAAGATAGAGAGAAAGATGGCAAATATAGATCGGACTATGTAACTCTATGAAACATTGCGATAAGAAATATTCTTATCTCTTTACTTAAGATATCAATGAAATTAATGGAAAAATGAGATAATAATATGATGAATCATAAGCTTTCAATAGTATCTTCAAATAAAATCACTTTTTCTCTCTTTATATATTTACACATTGTATTTGATTCACCGAATATTTTCACATCTTTTTCTTCAATTTTATCAACACCAACTTATACTTATATTTCTTTCAGAATTTTATGGGAATCGTTTGTGGGTGTTCCGTTAGGCTATATGCTTGGCTATTATGGCAACAAGTCAAAACTTCAATATTTGGTTAGTTCATTCACCTTTTTTTCTTATATTTTTTAACTTTGTGTCATCTGTAGGTGACTGATCATTTGTTTGGCGGATTTGCACGAAATTCACGACCCAAACGTGTATTAGAATGTTTCTGGAGATTCAGTTACTATCTAATGGCATTCATATATGGATGTATTGTCTTATGGGATAAGAGTTGGTTATGGGATGTTAAGGAATGCTGGATTGGATATCCATTCCATCCAGTACCTAACTCTATTTGGTAATTTAGAGCTTTCACATCTTTTCATAAATCATACCATAGGTGGTACTATACGATTGAAACATCTTTCTATTATTCCCTGCTGATTGCATCAGCTTTCATTGACGTACGTCGATCTGACTTCTGGCAATTAATTATTCATCATTTTGTAACAATTGGTCTATTAGCTACTAGTTGGACTATCAATTTTGTAAGGTTAGTTCAAAACAGAAACATAGAAGACGTCATACATGCGTATGATTGCAGAGTAGGAACTCTTGTTTTGATTTCTCACGACGTCGCTGATATTCTGTTGGAGGGAGGAAAACTGACTCGATATGATAGAAACAAGAAAACATTAACGAACGTGGCTTTTGTAGTATTTCTTATTGGGTAAGCTTTGATTTTTTTTTAAATTTTCAGTTTTCTCTTCATTTCACTCAACTTTCGTGTAAACATTCTACTTTCTTTTGTTCTTTTCTACATTTTAATTTGCATGTGAAGCCACGTGGACTCACTTACAACGAGACACGTGGAACACGTGGGCGTTCACGTGGCATTTGAATTACATTTTGTATTATCAAAGAAAACGGTTGCTCATCAGCTACAATACAGTTGAACTGTTTATCAGTAATTGAATTGAATTTTGATTTTCAGATGGATTATCACTAGACTCGGATATTACCCATTCATACTTATTCGATCAGCTTTGTTCGAAGCTGCTAACCTCATTCAACCAGATTATGATCTTCTCGACTTCACAGAGGTATGTATCACAAGATGGCATCTCAGAATAAGTTATATGATATTGAAGGTTCCTTATGTGCCACGGTTTATTATTTTGCTTCTAACGATTCTACTTGGATTACATGTTTTATGGACATTCTTGATATACAGAGTCGTTGTTAAAGTTTTGACTCAAGGAGCAGCTGGAGTATGATTTTATAGTTTTAAAATATATTCTAACTGTTTGCCATTGTAGGATGTACGATCAGATTCTGATTCTGATAGTGAAAACAATGTTCAAGAAACTCGTAAGAAGTTATTAAAGAAAACAAAGAAGAGTAATGATACATCAACGGATTCTGATGATGAGGATGTTCAGAAGGACAGTCACGCATCTAGTCGTCGACGACGTGTTCGACGTGAATGATTGATATCTTGATTTCTAAATTATTTTTTTAGAAGAAAAAAAAACTTAATCATAACTTATACATTGAGAATTGTTTTAGCATGACATTAAGTGTTCAAATGGAATATCATTTATAGTAATGTTTATCAAAATCGTACCTGATTGCTCGTTCTTCTTTCTCTCTCTTCCTTTCTTTCTTTCTCTCTCTTTTCCATTTTTTGTATAGATTTGTTTGTTCTCGTTAACTTTTAAGCTTCCAATCATTCCGAATGGTTTTGGTTAATATTATATTGAGTAAACCGTGGAAAATAAAAAATTATATTTCATATTTCAATATGTAGTGAATAGAAAGCTGATTCCGACTAGCTGACATCAGCCTCAATCCTTCTCTCTTCATGCCATACCATAGTCATCCACTATCTCGTTGACGTAATAAATGAAACAGAATCATTTTTTTTGTGACATTTTCCTAATTCTCACATAATTCTTTCATATTTTTTAATTTTAGTTTGTTTCCCGACTCATTAAAAGCATGTGAGAATTCAACAACGGGTTGCTATGGGTAGCGAGATTTCACAATTTCAGCTAGACGACACATAAGCAACTCAGTCAGTAAGTCCGCCTTTCTTTCCTCTTTTTTCTTCGTTTTCTCACTCTGTCTCTCTCTCTCTTTCTCTCTTCCCCTTTCTCACACCCTCTTTTTCTCTTTTACTCTCCTTCTTCCTTCTCTCGTTACCTCCCTCTCTCTCTCTTATAGTTTCTCTTTTTACTCTTTGTAATTTTGAAACCTCTTTAACATTTTCCTCTCGTTGAGCTTCCTGTCAACCATTTGTCTCCTATAATTTACCTTTTAAATTTAATGTAATAACGTTGAGAATGTCATATTATTCCATATAGAGCATGAAATACCTCAACATGACATATATTCGTTCACCAAATCATTTTTTCGGATCTGTTTTCATTCACGCTCACCCTTGATGACAGTAAAAACTGAAGAAGAAGCTTTCCTCATCAACCCGTACCAACGTGCAGATTATCATAGCGAACTTCTATTTTTTCCTTTTCATTGCAGATTACTGTATTAAATATAATTCATATTGTTTTCAGTTGAGAATGTAATCAATAGAGGCCATATAATTATGCGAAAAATGCTTCATATCACCCTTAGATCATTCTAATCCGAATAAACACAGAGTGAAAGCTGAAACTGCATTCCAATTCACGTCTTCCTCAATGAATCTCTTAAATCCAAACAGGATATCTTAACTTTTCCTCTTTTTATTGATAAATATAGATATGTTGAATATTTCATTCATCTACGCATTACAAAATCTAATTTTATACATTCTGCAACAAAATCGCTTCTTATACACTTCAGACTCATTCTCTCTCACACTCTTGATACCAGTTTCAATCACAATATCACTTCATCTTCCTCATAACATAACATCTTTATAATTTTATTATCAATTCCTTGTATTCATTTCGTCAGTTCCGCTCGTTGAAAAGATTTGATAACCTTTTTTGGTCATTCACCTTTCTCTCTCTCTCTCTCTCTTTCTCTCTCTCCCTCTCTCATATCCGTTTCTCTGCAAAGGAAATTACTTTTTGAAAATGATTAATAAAGCTTCTTTTTTTATAATCACACCGCAGTTATATGACATTCATTTTCTCATAGTTTTCATTTCAGAAAATTGAAAAAAAAAATTTTTTTCGTTTTGTTCCATTTCTTCAGATAACGAATGGCTCATAACGAGAATATTCGAGTTATCTCAAGATGTCGTCCTTTGAACGATCGCGAAAAAGGACTGAATTCTTCGGTTTGTTTTTGATATTATACAGAAATATTAAATGTTTTTAAGGTTTGTGTGGATATGAATAGTAATCAGGGACAAGTTATACTAACATCTGATGAAGGTCCTCCCAAAGAATTCACCTTTGACGGAGCATATTTTATGGACTCCACAGGAGAACAGATATACAATGACATCGTATTTCCATTAGTTGAGGTATATACGTTTCCATCTATGAACTTCTAACATTGATAGTGCTTTTCTACCTTTTCATTCTATTCTAATCATCATTGTTATAGAATGTGATTGAAGGATATAATGGAACTGTCTTTGCCTACGGTCAGACAGGAGCAGGAAAAACATTCTCAATGCAGGGTATTAGTGAACTAAACTCATTTGTGAATTATTCGAGTACTTTGCAGGAGTTGCTGATATTCCTGCTCAACGAGGAATTATTCCTCGAGCTTTTGAACATATTTTTGTTGCAACTTCAACAACAGATAATGTGAAATTTCTAATTCATTGTAGTTATCTAGAGATTTACAATGAAGAAGTCAGAGACTTGCTGGGAACAGATAGAACACAGAAGTTGGAAATTAAAGTATATTTAATTGTTTGATTCGTATCAAATAATATTCATAATTCATTAGGAAAATCCAGATAAAGGTGTTTACGTGGCTGGACTGTCTATGCACGTTTGTCATGACGTCAAATCATGTCATGATATGATGGTTAAAGGCTTCAACAATCGTCATGTCGGAGCTACTCTAATGAATAAGGTATTCATACGAATATAAATTGCGATGTTCGAAACAACAAAAGCATAAGCAAGAGTCTGCTTCTACCTCAACGGGTATAATGTTCAGGGATGGAGAGAGAAAGAGAAAGAAAGTGAGAGAGAGAAAGAGAGAGATGATGATGATGAGAGAGAAGAGATTCTAAAGAATTGCACAAACATGAAAATACTTTTTATTAAAAATAAATATATATAATTGCATTTATAGGATTCTTCACGAAGTCATTCAATTTTCACTGTTTATGTTGAAGGAATGAATGAGAGTGGAAGTATTCGTACGGGTAAATTGAATCTCGTGGATTTGGCAGGAAGCGAACGTCAGTCAAAGACTGGTAATTGAATTTATCCACCGGCCGAGCGAATGAATTTTAAAATTACAGGTGCTACTGGGGAAAGATTCAAAGAAGCTACGAAGATTAATCTCTCTTTATCAGCATTAGGAAACGTAATATCAGCATTAGTTGATGGGAAAGTCAAGCATATTCCATATCGAGACAGTAAGCTAACTCGTTTGCTACAAGTGAGTTGCAAGAACTCAATAATTACTGATATACGGAGATTAATCATAGGACTCTTTGGGAGGCAACACGAAAACTATCATGATAGCCTGCGTATCTCCATCAGATAATAATTACGACGAAACTCTGTCCACTTTAAGGTAAATATTTTATTTCCGCATTTAACTTCTTAAAGTTTATGCCGTTGTTACTTAAAGTCTCTTTTAAGATATGCTAATCGAGCCAAGAACATCAAGAACAAACCGAAGATCAATGAAGATCCTAAAGATGCTCTTCTCCGAGAATATCAACAGGAGATCGAACGACTAAAAGGACTTATACAAACTGGAGGTAATAGTAAACCATTAAGTCATCAAGTTTTGAATTTCAATTCATCAGATGCTCCAGTGGTTGCGAGCTCGTTCGATATTGAAAAAGAAAGAGAGAAACTGAGAAATGAGTTTGAAGAAACGATGAATGAGATGAGGTTTGTCTTTTTGCATGATAAATGGGAGAAAAAGTGATTTAGAATGGCTTATGAGAAAGAGCAGACAAGTAAAGTTCAACTTCAGCGTGATTTGGAGCTGCTCAGACAGCATTATGAACAGGTTCTATAGTTAATCCTATATCAATAAGCCATGTTACTTGTTTAGGCTAATGCAGATCTTGATGGCATGGGAGCGATGGAACCTGCCGAAGCTGCTAAAAAACTGAAACTTCTTCAGGAACAGTTTGTTGGTGGTGAACAGGTAATGATTACAACACAGAGCGTTTAAATAGTTTCTTCTTCAGGCTAACAATGAGCAGTTGAAACAAAAACGTTTGAAGAAGTTGAAAGAAGCACAAACGAAAGGCGAACGGCTAGCAGGTTCATCAATAATACGGTGCAATACTCATAAAATATTTCAGCGGCGTTGAATGTGAATACAGATGATCCTCTTCTTCAAGTATACAACTCAACTCAAGAAAAATTAGATGCGGTCATGAAGCAGTTGCAAAAGGAACAGAAGCGGGTATTCGATGAAGCTCCTCAAACAAGAGTTAAGAATTCTATTATAGTGTAAAGCTCTGGAACATGATATTGAGGATTTGCAAGGAGAATTCGAGTTAGATCGCTTAGATTACTTGGAAACAATACGTAAACAAGATCAACAGCTCAAGCTCTACATGCAGATTTTAGATAAAATTCAGCCAACGCTTAAGAAGGTTAGTTTCTCAGTTTACTAAAAACAAATGTCCATCTTACAGGATACTAACTATTATAACATTGAAAAGGTAAAGAAAGATTCAATTTGGAATGAAGACGAAGGCAAATGGATTTTACCAGAGATGAGTGTGACTAGGACAGTATTACCGAACGCAGGAAATGGTTAGTTCTTTTTTGACAACGATAACTCTAAAGACGGAAATGTCACAACAAGAAACTGATTGTTCTTCCTTCTTTTCAATACTTCAGTCCCTAATACCTATTCTCCAGGTTATATGAACTCTATGAAGACGGAGTCAATGAATCGCCATCAATATGATGATGAAGGATCGAAACTGAGAACAGTTAACTTTATGTACATAAAGATTTTCTAATATACCTCTTATAGCGTTTAAACAAGAGTGAAGCTGAGGACTTAGCCAACAACTATTTCAAACCTGTGAAACAAACAAATATTGTCAATAAATACAAAGAACAACATCGAAATATGGGTAAGCGTTTGATCAACAACTCTAATCATTATCATCGTTATAGCATCTGATGTCAAATCCTACTTTCCTCGTAAGGCATCAACATTCGAGAATTTAGTTAACGGTGTTGTATACTCCGAAGATATATATGAGCGTTCACAGAGCGCTAAACGTCCAGCTAGGCTGGATGCTATTACAAGATAGTCTGAATTAGAATTTTTTGAATCTGGGCATTCAATAATCGGAACCTTCCCTACATCTGCTTGGGTGCTTCTTAAAAACTGCATAAAAGGGTTTTTATAAAATATCAATGAAGAACATATTTTTCAATAAATGATTTAATAAAACGAATTGACCAACCTCTTCTTGGTTTCCACGACAGCTCACTCTCTTGCTCATCGAAAATGATTTTCAGCTTCCATAAAGGAACTTATAAGCTATGAACGACCGCTCACATAATTTTCAATTTTTCGTAAATGATTTTCGTAGACTCACTGTGTAACTCTCGAACAACCGCTAACTCGCGCTGTCTTCAAGAGGAATGAACTTTGAGATCTCTCGGCTTGTAGGTATTACGTTGTAGAGTTTCTAGTATACTGAGAAACATTTACTGTGGTTATTAGCTTTTGCAAATATTCATTTTTCAGGGCAAAATTCACTTCTTATTCCAAATCACGGTAGATATAGAACGAGCTGGAACAACCAAATTCAAATGAACATTTCGTTTCATAGCATCTTCCACAAATATTTCTTCCTCTTCATCTGATTGGTTTAGAATTACAAGCACACGTTGTCCTAAATGAGAGGAAAGTTTATGGAGGAGTTTTTCCAAACCTTTGTTGACAGCAGCAGTTATTTGAAGGTTCTTGTTCGTTGTCTGAACTTTGGATAGAATTCTTCGAGAACCTGGTTTGATGAACTTGCTAAAAGGAGAAGTATGATTTCATGAAGAAAAAACAAAAACCTGAAGTGCCCCATTGCGTAGAACATAGGTTGTTTGTAGAACTCATTAGCAGTGGAGTTAATAATGATAGGAGAATCAACATAGTTTTTTACCCAAGTTGGACCTCCATCCATATTTAAGCACAAGTTCCAATCCATCCACCCGGTGACGAAATTGTTCAAATCCTAATAACATAGTTAGTAATTTAAAAATGAATCTCAACTATGAGAGTTTGTGTTCGTTACCGTGATGATGTCATAGGCATATTGCTCTGCTCTATACCAATCTCCTAATATGGGACCATGTGGGAAGCTTGAACCGGCACACGCTTCGGTAGCCAAGATGAACTTGTTCGGGTGTCTTTGATGAGTTGTTGTAAGCAGATGAGCAGGGTACAGACCGTTTCCATACCAATGAACTCCAATTCCATCAACGTATCCTTCAACTTTTTCATCTTCAAACATCTGAAGGGAGACTTTTCAATACAGCTGCTAGTAGAAGAAAAAAACGAAATGAAAAGGTTGTTTTCTGATTTATGTTTGATAAGATCTTCAAAAGGAGGTTGCTAACTGTTACTTTCAGAAATCAGACGATTCCATAACATACAGAAGAATCGAATGAATATTGGATTAACGGTAATACACTTCAATTACTCACGATGTCTGCCCAAATTGGCAACCAAATCCTGTTATCATCAAGACAGATAATCGAAATATTGGCGGTCAAGAGATGACTTTTCATTGTTGGCCCAAGATAGTCCCGTACGAAATCTCGTTCTGTAGTCGCCGTGAAGAACAAGGATTGCCATTTATAGTTAGGAACGGCTCCAGCTGTTGGTTCATTTTCAATCGTCACTCCCCAAAAGTCAACGCCTTCCTTATCATATTCTTCAAAGAATCTGAATCAAACAGGGTTAAAAGTGATAGTTCAGAGTTGGTATTGTCGTACCTCACGAAATAATTTGCATAAGCTCGATGAACTCTGTAATCATCCCGTAAGGCTCCGCCACCTGACATCCTTTGGTTCGTTTTCATCCATGCTTCAAAACGATTTGAATGTGATTCAGTTCAAAGAAAAAAACCTGGCGAGCTCCATGGGGAAGCTACAAGTCGTATCTTGTTTGGACTAACTTTCTGAGCCATTTTTATGAACTTGATCTGAAAACAGTACAGTAATAGCAGTAAAAATGAAACGATAACCTTATATCTGTAATCATCAGCTCTCAAAGCAAAATGTCTCAGATTAAAATCATCGGCAACATCGTCATAGCTGTATTCTCTCGTGCTGAAATCAGTGCTTCCAATAGGTACACGTCCAAGAGTATACTCCAATCCTTAAAAAATACTTTTCCAGGAAAAAAAAGGTCAGCGAAGGAAAGAAAATAATTTGTTTAAAGGGAATTGGGAAAAAAAGATATAATTAAATAAAATAAAACTGCAGTGAAGAAATGTTTAAAACCAAAATCTTATTTTCTTTTTTTCTCAAACAAATTCGGATAAGAGACCACCCTCTTTTCTCTCTCTTACTATCTATCCTTCTGTCGTCTACTATTTTCATCTTCCTCGCCTCTCGCAAGAGATGTTTCCATACTCTTTGTTACATTTCTGCAGAAGACATGCGCCGAAGACGTTAGATGTTGAGAAGAATCCGGGAAGCATTCTCCATTTGCAGATGATTCCAAGAGAACGGGATCATATTCTCTAATTTTTTTGTTTGTTGCCAACTTAAAGTTTTTTTCTCTTCCAAAAAACATTTGCTCGATTGAATGATTTCCTTATTTCTCCCCCAGCCACAAGACTTTTCTTATGTCGGTGGATGAACTGCACAAGCAACAGAAGCCGGGCAAACAAATGACGAAACATTTGACGTCTTTTGTACTCCCAAAATTACAAAAATGAAAATATGAAAAAAATGGTTTTCTGAAATCTAACCGAGCATTGTCTTTACTCTTCCTCAACCTTTCCCTCTTTCTCCCTAATGTCCACTCGTAAGGTGCGACAGACAAATATGAATGAATTTCTTGGAAAAATTGTTCTATCAACTCAGAAGAACGAGAAAGAAGACAACGATGGTGAAGGACTGTCGTTACGGCGGGCACTGAGTATGTCCTTTCCCTCCCCATCCTTCTGTTTCGTTTCTCCCTCTTTTTCTTCTTTTTGCTCTGCTCTTACTTGCCTTCTTCTTGACGATGAAATGACTGCTCAACCCCCCATCCCCGCTCAGTCTTCTCATCGTCCACAACCACCCACCCCCTTCTCAACCATGTCGTCCTTCTACCTGTGTGTCCAAATTTCTCTCACTTCTCTTCAAATACTTCACTATATGATTTGTCCTTTCTTTATCGTCGCCCATTCTTTCCGTCTTCTTTGCTTCTTCTTTTTCCCTCCTTAGAACTTGCTGTGGTTGCTGCTCACCCCCTTCTCCCTTCTCCTTCTTCACCCTTCCCTTCTCTCCTTGTGTGCGTCCGTTCTTTCTCTTCATCTATCTATCCTCCATCTAACCCCCCCTCTCCTCACTCCCCACCCTCCTCACCATCTTCTACCCGACCTCTAGAGCAAATAATCTTCGTGCTCTTTCCCACTCTATCCGTCCTCGGGCCAGCCTTCCCTAATCGACGACGACAACCAGCTCAGTTCATTGGGCTCTGAAGTCTCGTTGTACTCCTTTTTCAAAAAAATCTTTTTTCTTCATTTTAGCACACTAGGATTGTAGTTTCCTTTCTCAATAGCACAAGCTCAAACTTTTTTTCCGTTCAATTTTATTTTTGAAGAGTTGTTTTTCTGCTTCAATCGTCACTAATTAGGAACTTTTTTTTTGAAAAACTCTTCATGAACTAGCTTTAATTCAAATTTTAATAGGATCATGTCTGAAGACAATGAGCCGTCAATCTCTCCTGCAAGCTTACTAGACTCCTTCGCATCCATATTCAAGCCGTTAGAAGAAGAGATAGTTGATAAAAAGGTAATATTAATTGCTTCAATTAGTATGATATTTCTTAATTAAAGAGAAGAGCACCTGTTATGTCTCCTGAAGAGCTTTATTTTCTATCACAAAACTATGTAGATAACTATGAAATTTTTCATGGAACAGTTAAAGGCGCAAGCCGAGAAGCTTCAATTGTGGTAAGCTTATATTTTCTCTGTCGCTTACTCCACCCCGTCATCCTCACCGCTTAGCCTCTCATTGAAACAACAGGGAATATCAAAAATCTTGCTCTATGCATTATAGCTATAATTTCTCGTGTCAATATGCTTTCACGTACATACATCACGTGAAAACTTGACTCACTATTTCAAGAAAATAACATTGGAAGCGGTCGCATTCAACATATCCCATGTTTATCGTTGACCTTTGCAACTTTCTCTTGCTTTTCAGGCAAAGAGTCTCTTACTGAATAATATAGCAAATGGATTAGAAGTCTTAGGATACCCCAAGCGTACCACAACTCAGATTGAACAGAGAATCCGTGATAATTTGAAGAAAAGCAGGGAATTTTTCACACAAATGGTACGTCCTCCTCATGATTCTTTCTCATGCTGACATGATTATAGAAGAAAGGTGGAAAGAAGCTGAATATTCCTCCACATATTAAGCTTTTACTTGACCGGCCTGATATTAAGGCTCGCCTGATCGGAGGTAGTAAAGCATCTACAGAAATCAATAACTCAAACAAGGTAAGATCTCATAGAAGATTAATATATATTCATATTGCCTTCAAGGATGAAAACTCAAATAGAACAAATGATAAGGCTGAAATAAAATCACAAAAAAAGAAAAGAGCCCGAGAAGATGATGAGCCGACAACATCGGAAAGCTCCAAGAGGCCCTCAATGGACAGTTTTGCTGATTCACCAGCTGTAAGCTATCATTAAGATATTTAAAAACAATAATTATAATGATCAGATGACTGAAAACGATAGTCCAATGGCAAATGATCAAATAACATCTGATTTCATTTGTTCATTCTTATCAAATGCTTCATCTAGCTTATCAAAAGATGACGATGTAGAGAAGTAAGCTTCAATTAAGACTATTAGCTTGCAACATATATCTCTTTTTAGAAGTTGTGTAAATCATGAAGAGAATGTAAAAGAAGAAGAATCCTTAAATTCCCAGTTAATTCAAATGAGAATAGAAAATGAGAAACGCCGTCAAGAACTTTTGGATGCTCAGATTCAATTGGAGAAAGCTCGTTTGGATTGTGCATTACTTGAAGCTCAATATTGGAAGAAAAAAACAAAATTAGCCTTAATAGATTAAAAGAAGAGAAAAAAAGAGCAAATCATGTAAATAGTATATGATTACCTATATCATATAGATAAGATGTTCCTGACTCTCGTTCATCTATCTCTCCTCATCTTTCGCATCATGAAAAGAACTGTGTTAAATCAACATTTGTAGATTTTTGACCTTTTTAATCAAAAGTCATTCCACTATATGTTCATATCAGATTATGGTTTTTTAACATAAATCAAGTTATATCTGACCTTTTTCACTGAAATATGCATTGATTAACTGTTTCTGAGCACTTTCTGTTAGAGTTTCCAGATTGATTCCGACGGAATCCGTGAAAGCTCCACCGAAACCATGTATCGTCTGGAATCGTTGACGACCATCTATCAGAATTCTTGTGACATTTTCTTTCTCTTTGCTTTCTAAACAATATTATATGTCATGTAGGGTTTCAACTTGTTCACACCAAAAAATTTAGAGGAGAACCTCAAGTCTTCCCTCTCAAATCGGAAACCATTCTGAGATGAACTGATGAGAACTGCTGAATCAACCGGAATTCTTCCTACTCTCTGAAAGTATATTCATAAAATCAAATAAATCCTAAAAGAAGATGCAAAAATGAAATGAAAGTCGAACCGGGAATTCATCACAGAAGGTCGAGTTGCAAGCACATACTAACTGCTTTGGACCAGGATAGTACCGCCTCAAACATCCAGTTTGAACTGAAGAAAAAATAATTTCAGCATCAGGTTTGCATATTCATTAATTGAAAGAACTAATAATGTAATAAAACAAACCAGTTAATGATATTAACAAGAGAAATTGGATGAGAAACAACCAAAATCGATGTTCCATGGCTTCCGATCAGACGAGCTCTTGGCCAACTCTCGTTTTTTGATTGATTTCGATTGATGTTCAACAACAGCTGACAATTAGTTCCAACTTTTTTTTGTTTTGTTTTTAAACCTTTTTCGGAAGACTTTTTTTTTCTTTTCTTCTTTTATCTTACTCTCTGTTTGTTATTTGTTTTTCATTCGAACATATTTTGTTTAATTGACATAATTTGTTTTGTTTTATTGAACGGCTGACGATATACGGAGTTTCACCTTAATTACATCTTAAGGAGAAATTCATCAGAAGTTTTTCTACAACAATTCTTTTTTTCAAGTTTCAACATCACCCATATATTATGCTGGATAGTTAGAAAGAAGTTCTAATGATAGGGTAGAAAAGATGAAGAAAAAAGACAGATAGAGGGAGTTAGAGGGAAGTGAGATTCTAGAGATAGAGAGAGAGAGAAAGAGAGAGAGAGAGGGAAAGAGAGGCATGCATACTGAGAAGGGTGACTTCAAAAGAATGAAACAGAAGCGAAAATTCACAATTAAATGGAGATCATGTTGGAAAGTTTTTTTCTTAAAGGAGATAAAGCATCATTCGCCTCTTTCTAGACTGGAGGCGGTCCACAATCCATCTTGACAGGAGCAGCATCAGCCGACGCAAAAATTGGAATTGGCTGAACTGCAAAAAGAAAACGGTTGATGAACGATCAGAAAAGATTGCAAAGAATTCAAAAAGTTTAAATTTAAAAGTGATTACCTCCTCCGATTGTCCAATTCTTTTGAACACTATCATTATCCTCTTTGTAACGATGGTTATAGCAACGGCCGCATGTAAGAAGGAAGAAAAACTGAAAAGGATGAAAGAAACATCAATAACATACACCTTTCCGTATATCTACCTGTTCACGATAAGTTCGAACACAAAGAATGGCTAGAATGACCTGAACCACTGGGAAGACGAGTAAGAACCAGGGTAAAGCCGACAAAGCTTTAGCCATAATGTTCATGAGTGTACTTATATCAGGCATTAATCCAGATAAGAAGCCACCTGAAACAAAATAGTTCTTCAATTTTCATATATGGAGTGTATATCCACCTTTATCATCATCATCGCCTCCACCTCCACTCATGATTTTTTGGAAAAATTCACTTTGAAGAATGTATGTCATGAGATTCTTGGTTACAAATGATACTGTAGTCAAACCAAATGAAGGTCCATACATGACAAGTGGAATAAGAGCATAGATTAGCAGAAGCCACATATCCACAAATGTTGCTGGAGTTTTCTGTATAATATAATTTTTTCGTTTTTGTATCAATATAAATGTCTTACTCGACCACGTTTTTTGGAGAATAGAACACAGCAGCAACAACAAGACCCAAACAAGCAGAATACGAAGTAAACAACGAAGAGCAGAAGAAACAGTACGTATGTAACTATGTTGAACATCTCGATTGGGTTATAATACCAAACATAGTCCATGTACTGAAAATAGAAAAGATGAAATCTTCCTATCATCACAATTCGATGGCTCAATGGGTTTTCTGTCCTATGTTTCTATATTTAACTTTAGTCGTGCTAATCTTGAAATCATTCCGTTTCAAGCTCAAAGTAGAAATTAAATTTTTCGAAAACTTTTCACGCTTTTCACGTGATGGCAAGTTGGCAAAAATTAAAAATGCAGTTTGTCACTGTGATTATTAATGGGAGAGGTTGTCTTTGCAGCTGTGAATGATCAACAAAATTTCCATTTCATTATCACTTTTCAAGTTTCAGTTGATCACCTGAGCGAAAAAGCAGAAAACCATCACAGCATTCAAGAATGGTATTAGAAGGAAAGCAAAAATTGAATTGAAAATGCGTTTATCAGCCAAACTTGGGGCGCATGTGAGAAGCATTCGTTCGATCATGACGAAGAACATTCCTGGAAAAGTTAACATTTAAATATTTAAGGAGATGTAGAGAGTCTTCTATGATTGTGAAAAAACGAACCTGCCGGAAAGACAGATCGAGTGAAGCATTCGACGCGTTCTTTCTGACGTCGCCATTCAATAACTTGAATCCACTGAGGGAATGGTGCTTTTTCTGCGAATGAAGCATAATGACCCTATAAACATACATATCAGTTGTTAACACTATACAATCATCAATTACCAAATGAACAAGTCCCCACACAGAACAGTTAATCATATGCCATCTTATAGCTGTGTAATCCATTCGTCCCCCAAATAAGCTCATATAAAGCATAATTGTGAGAACACAAGCTGATATGCAAATGATGATTCCATAGGCGGACTGTTCACCATCCCATTCAGCCATATCTAAATATCAAAAATAACAATTAATTACATAAAAATTATATTTGAAAATCAGTTTGATTTTTGTGGGTTGATTTGAAAAAGAAAAAAAGGTTGAATATCAGATATCTTTTCTGAGTGAGTTTTGTGAAATCTGTCATTTACATCTCTTTACTGCTTCAGCAGTGTAGTATATGTGTCTAGCAAGTTGTTTAATAGAATATTAAAGTAATTACCAGAGAATATCTAATGAACACAATAATGTGAATAACCTTTTGACTGTCTCTGATTACGAATTGAGAAGAATCTATCAGCAAGGTATAGAGCTGTTATATAATCTTCTCTTGTTAATCCTAATTTGCTTAAATCCATTTGACCTCCTCCTCAACAAACGTCTTCAGCATTCACAGCTTTGTTGCCTTCGATGATATGATATCAACACAAAGCAAAGTATCTTTACCTAATCAACTACATGCAAACGAAAGATAAAGCAAATGAAATAAGAATTAACGTTAAGATGAAATGGAAAAAAAGAGCTGATTGGATGCGATCAATGAGCGCAGCCTCTCTCATTTTCTTAATTTTTCACATTTTTTTTTCTTTTTGTAAAACAAAATGCAAAAGTGATGACGGAAAGAGGAGCAACTCATCGAATTCATACGAATAACTGATATGTGAAGTCGCAGCCTTTGACACATAACTATATAATTTGTTATAATGTATAGTTAAGTTTTGATAAATTTGAAATTATATGTTTAACGGAATGTCTCCCCTGATTGATAAAGCTTAACAGTTGTTTGACGAATTCTAATGAAATCAGTCAATACAAACCTTCAGAAAATAAAAAAAAACATTTTTTTAACAGCTGAATGTCATTTGAACTCTTAAGAGAGACCAGAGACGAGAGAGAGGGAGAGAGAGAGAGAGTAATGAGAAGAAGAAGCTGAAGATATACGTTTCAAAAGGAAGTTCATTCGATCAGAAGATTTCTTTTACAAAAAAAAAAAAGAATTTGTAGTTCAGCCAGTAAAAAACACTTTTTTTTGTATTTTTTTCATCGAAATGAAGAATTTGTAAAAAAATAAAGTAATTGAATCGAAAGAAGCTGAAAGTTGTCATGAAAACTTAACCGAAGAAAAGAAGGAAAAAAGGAGAGCGAGAAGAGAGTGGATGAGATGAAAGGTATGCTCATTCAAGCTGAAGATTATCAAATCTTCTCTCTCTCTCTTTCTATATCTCTCTATATCTCGGCTACTGTTCATGATAGTAATTAACAAAATAAATAAACGAGTTATCTTACTTTCATAAAAACTTCGTGGCACCTCATTCTCCATTTCGAACCTTAGATTGCTTAAAAAGGAATTGATAACGACAGATTATTCAAAAATCCGAATACGGTATTCACGACAATGCAATAGAATAGCAACAAACAGAAGAAGAAGACGAAAAAGAAGTAGAATGAGAAGAAATGAAAGCTGAGCAAAGTTGTTGCTCTGGAACGTTTGCGCAACAAACATTCACAGAAATTATAACTTTTTCTTTTTGTTTTCTTCTTCTTCTTTTTTTTCTATGAAAATTCAAATTAATATACGATTACAACTGTCTGTGTTTCAGATATTCTTTTTTCTGATATTCTCGGTAGTTGCTAAGCAGCTGATGAAAGGCAGTTTTTTTGCTTCAAGATCATCGTCATCAATTTGATTAGAAGAGAATGAAAGGCATGGAATATCTACTGTAACCTATCTCTCTCTCTCTTTATACCTCTTTAGTTATTCATTTAATTTGAGATTAGCTCATAACCTATTGTTTTATTTGAATTTTTAATAATTGAGCAATGGTCAGCGAAAGAGGAGGAGGAGGAGGAGGAGGAATGGACTCTTGTAAGGATGATGAAACTTAAACCTTTGCGACTGAACAGTATTCTATTGGATACAACCGTTCAGTGAGCCCATAAATCATTTATATGAATGATTTCAGTTCAAACGCGTACACTTCACGTACATGTATCACGTAGAACGTTTAAGACATGCTAATTACCTGCAGAATAATCATACTCGTAATCATAATAATCAGCAACAACTGGCTGAAATGTGAACGAGAGTAGGAGAAGAGTCACGTAATAGATGTTCCCCGCCATGGAAGATCGACGGACTCACGCGTTGAAACAACTCTGTAAAACATTTTAAGATCTTCCGTATGCGTGAAGAAGAACGATAATCTAGCAACTGTTGAGAAATAGCTAAGGATAAAGAATTTAAACGAGGGAAGAGGGATTGAGATGAAAGGTAATGTCTGAAGAATAGGATGACATGAGATTAATTGAATATGTTGAGCTTTGCATGAGGGATCCAGAGAGGTCTGTTTATTGTTCTGTGAAATGGTCTATTTTTTAACAAAAAATGATTTGTTGCCTACGAAAACGAAACATTTGTTTCTTCTTATGCCATAAGAAGAAGAAAGAGAAAAAGTTATTTTTTGAAGAAACAATATGAATTTCTTTTGTATCAAACAGGATGGACGAGCTAGTAGGAAAGCCCGAAGATTAGATTTCATAGCTTTCGTTCGAACAGAAACTGTTCAGAAGCATATAAAAAAAGAAGTTATAAGAAAACGAGAACTTAGCTCAACCTTGATTGAATGATGTGGGTAGTAAGCTACTGTAAGCTTACATACATCTGAATGTCGTCAGATCAGATATTGCTTGGAAGTAACGGTTGCTTTAACAGGTGCAAGTTCAGTCAAACAGAACTGTTTCAAAAATTTATTTGTTTTATGTCAAAATAATGAAACAAAAAGTTGTAAAATAAAAATTTTGCAAGAAGCTGTCGTCAGGCTTATCTGACTTTCCACAAAATTCAGCTTAAAGTTTAATGTGATGAAGCTGAATAATGTTGTAATGCAGAGAGGGTGGCAATGATCAGCATATATCAGATGAACAGAGTGATGAGTAAAGATGAGAATCAAAAAAATAAAAATAAAAAATATTAAAATCCTTTAAACGATCTGTTTCTCTTCCAATCATCGTCAGACGCACTGAACGCATAAATTTGAGTTGAAAAACTGAAAATTATTTAATTTTTTCTTGAAAGAGCAGCTGCATTTAGTAATTATGATTTGGTAAAAGCTGCTGATTACATTTGAAATCTATGAATTCTTGATTTTCGTTTTTATTTTTGAACCATTATCGTCTTAGAAGTCAGAATATTTCATTTGATGGCATGACTAAAGCTTTATCTGATCGCCGTATCCATTTCGCATCCGTTCACCTGTTATCAGGGACGAGAAGGTTTGCAACGAGACTGATGGCAGGGAAATGACCATTTTCATACATCTTTTAAGAGATCAGATGACTGTAAGTCTTATCACAATGTTAGCATTTCATATGGAATACCAAGAATGTCATCTGCACTAAAATGATTTTTCTTGGAAATTCTTTTTTTTTGTGATTTCTGCTTTAAGGGTTCGTCCCTTCCAACCACCGGAGTGGGACTGTTTTCTCCTCCTCCCAACTTCCTGTGAATGATTCATTTATATTGTTTTGTTATCAATAAGAAATTGCGAAAATATAAATTTTATCACAAAATTGGAAAAGCTTTAAACTCAGATTTCCGTTTTTTCTCCATTTCACCTTTTATGGATCTTATTCTCGCATATTTGATGTATGTATGAGTGCATTGTTATCACTTCATGCTCAACTCATAGATAGATAGATTCTCTGACATAGTTGAGAGAACACTCCGAACAAATTTAGAAAATTGCTTTAACACTGATGTATGTCTTATTATTTATTCAAATTTCAGATGTTCCTTCTGATTCTCTCATCTTTAATTTTCTTATCAACTCAAGATCTTATGAGCTCAAATTGTGCTGCCCTTTGGCAGCTCGATGGATTATCTGAATGTGTAATTCATCAGAAGTACACTGCTTATCAAAACTATGGTTGTGTGTGTTCAAATGTGAATCCTCAGACACCACTGGATAACATTGACAGGTAAGAGATGTGAAATTGTGTGAATAATCATGAATCTTCTTTGATATCCTCATAGTACCATATATAGTGATGTGTATAGTGGTTTATGCGAGTTCATCTGAATCGTGAATGAACATACATACATATCTTCACGAATAATCAAAAAACGCATTTTTTTAATATCAAATTTTATATATTCCCTCATAGATTAGCATAACATGAAGTTCTACCACAAAGATCCGTTTTTTTTTTAATTAAAAAAAAAACTTTGCAGATGTTGTGCTTCTCATATTCAATGTTACAATAATTTGATGAATAATTGTGCAAATCCCGATGCTCCAAATTTTTGTTCATATCGATGGACATGTGACAGTTCTCAAATTATTTGTGAAAGTAAGTATCATAACGAAGATTTCTTTAAATATTTTTATTCAAAAAATGGTAATAAAAATCTTTTATGGACTTCGATCTTGGACATTTCATTGAGTCATTTCAGATAATTCATCATGTCTTCAAGATACTTGCAAATGTGATAAGAGATTAATTGATTGCTTAAGTCAATACGCATTTCCATCCATTACAAAAACATGCCCACATACACAGCACATCAAAGATGTACAACATCCTAAGAATCTGAATATCAATTCATCAGCTCATCTCTAAGAATTCAATACTTCCCCACCATCTCTTCATCCATTTTTGTATAATAATTTTATTTTTTGTTTTCATTCATGATTGACTGGTATTGTTGTTTTATATTGTATATTGGGTTAATAAAAATTTCCCTTCTAGAATTGTTTCTTTGTAAGGATATCTTACTATGTGAAGATGTGGAGATACCCAGAGAGATAGTCGTTCGAAGATTGAATAAGACACACAGAGGGTGTATTTGTGGGGAGGGGTATTCCCTCATCATTCATCATTGTTGAACGTCAAAACAGTAATATACTGAGCTCCAACTAGGTCTCGGTTATTTGGATTGAGAACGATTGATGAACACGAAAGAGAAGAGCACTGAACTTGTACAGAGACATAAAGAATGTTGTTTGTCCGAGAAGGAAGGAAGAAAGTCGTAATAGTCATAGGGAGGAGACCAAACGAGAGTGTCACCGCCTAGTTATCGTTGATTTCTGTAATTTGGCTTTTTGAACTCAGGAAATGGAGACTGCACAGGTTGAGATGAAAACTTTTATGGAGCATTTAACGACGAAATGTCCAGAGGAACACATGAAACAGAAGAAAAAAAGCTTTTGTTTCTTGCCTTATCATATGAAGAAAACCAAATTAAGAATGAATTTCTTTTTGGAATTGAAATGAAAAAAGGCGAAACGAAAGTACAAAAAAGTTTTGAAGAGGAGTGAAGGAGAAGAATGTGAATGTGCGAATAACAATAAGGGAAGAAGATGATCTTTTTGTTTATTTTCCAAGAAACGTCGAGTGTTCCGACGAAATGTTACAAGAGAACAGCTTGTTCTTCATTAGTTTCAACCTTTTCTTCTAGCTAAATGACTGAGTCGTTGATGGAATTATGAACAAACTGATAGAGTTGAGAAGTTCGGAGAGAAGAGGAAAAGCTGAAAAATCACTTTGTTGAAGCTTCATGTCGTCAATTTTGCTAAATGTCAATACATAAGAATACAGGGTCTGCTAATTTCTCATTTCTTCAATTCCTCGTTGAAACACAATGTCAGATGAAGAGATATAGATGAGGAAAGTAAACGAGCGACTTCAGACGATAAAATTGTGAGCTCAAAATCGATTTTAAAAATCCTCTTGAGTTGAGATGTGCTCTGATCTTTGCATGTAGACGTTGTCGTGTCACAACAGTTCTATTAGTTTATTTTTATATTCTTACATCATATGCTACTGTTTAAAGGAATATCCTACATCTTACAAAAGAAACATCTAAACTTATACTTTGTTGTTCTTGTTTGTCTTTCAAAAACAAATTATCCTAGATGAATAGCTGATGTGGAAGTATCTTTCTGATTTGACGAGTCATCGCACATTTTTTATTTTATTCTATCTATTATTTATTATTATTCATACAAAAGCTTCTTTTCGAGAAGGATTACTTTATAACAAACTTCTCGAAGAGTATGAGCCATTAGAAAGACCTGTAGAGAATGCTTCTGAACCAGTTAAAGTTAAAATTGGATTGGCTTTACAACAAATAATCACAGTTGTACGTTCATTTTTATATATTCTTTCTTATTTATTTTGCTTCAAACTGTCTTTTAGGATGAGAAGAACCAGGTAGTTGATGTGAACGCTTGGCTCAAACTCACTTGGCATGATTATTCGCTTAAATGGAATCCCGATGAGCATGGAGGCGTCACAGATTTGAGATTTCGGTTTTAAAGATTTTGATTGGCATCCCCTTCACTTATTGAAATTATCCAGAAAAAGTCAGTTATGGACACCCGATGTTCTAATGTACAATAGTGCGGATCCTCAATTCGACTCGACCTATGCCTCGAACGTTTTGGTCTATCCGGATGGAACGGCCAATTGGATTCCTCCAGGTTATACTTTCTTTGATCCTTCGTTGCACCCTAGTATACTTGTGTGAACTAAGTTCTTTCAGGCTTGTTCCGATTATCTTGCCGTATTGAAATTGTATGGTTTCCATTTGATATACAAGAATGTTTCATGAAAGTGAATTTCCAAGTGTTTTTTTTGAAAGAATCGAAAACGTTTTCAGTTCGGCTCATGGACATTCGACGGATTCAAATTAGAATTAGACATAGATGAGAACGCATTGGATACGTCAACCTACATTCCGAACGGCGAATGGCATCTTGTGTGTATGTTTCTTCATTCTAATTTGTTTTTTTCTACTTTGGTTTCTCGGAATATGTAGTTTTACAATTCAGCAACCAACGCCGTACGAAACATACAGTACTACCAATGTTGTCCAGAACCGTACTATGATGTCATTTTCACTTTTGTAATTAGACGTAGAGTTCTGTATTATGGTAAGTTTTTCACTCCTTTTCTGTGAATTGTTGAAAATAGATCAAGATGAAGTTATCAAACATCAGTCTTCTGTAATTTCAGCTTTCAATCTGATCCTGCCGTGCATTCTTATAACCTTGCTTACTCTCATCGGTTTCACATTGCCACCCGATGCTGGAGAAAAGATGTCTCTACGTGAGTAACAGTGCATATTCGTTTTGTTTTCATGAATTCAAATTATTTTAGAAATTACAATTATGCTTTCTATTTGTATTTTCCAAAATTATGTGGCCGAAATGTCGCCGCCAACGTCTGAAGCTGTTCCTTTCTTGGGTAATTGAAATATATTATTGTGATTTTGATACACTGAAGAGAAAGAGAGGAGAAAACGAATTGGAAAATAAAATATTAATTCGATATCCTACTGAAAGAAAATTATCTTTTTTTATTACTTTCAGGAGCATTTTTTGCGGTATGTATGTTTACTTGTGCTTGCTGTGTGACAGCAACAACAATGGCTTTGAACTTCCATAATCGAAGCAGCCGTTCTCATGAAATGAGTTATCTTGTATGTTCTAAACTCAATACCACTATACTATATTATTTATATTTTCTAGTTCCGATTGATAATGATCAACTTCTTGCCATGGCTTCTTTGCATGCATCGACCCGGTTATAAGGCTGGCAAAGGGCAGATGATTAAAATAGAGAGTGAAACTGAAAATGAAACTGATGATGAGCTGGACGAAGATGATTATCATGTTCATGATGACGAGAAGTGTGATTCCGTGATTGAGGAGTCTCATCTTAATCGCATGAAGAAGGAGAAAAAAAACTCAAAACAAACGAGCATCTCCATTCAAGCATTAATGAGCAAGATTCTAGTAGATTCTCCTGTTTCTACTCCTCGGTAAGTGGAAAGTGATTATGTAGATCAGTTCGAATCATTTGAGAGTGATGCGTCTAAATGAAGAGACAGGTGAAGTAGTGAATGAACTTGCCCCAGGACATCTTTGGAGAAATGGATCTAAACGGCAAGCAAAAGTTCAGACTCAAAAGGTTGTGCTGTTTTCCCTTTAATCAAGGATTACGAATTTTACAGGCTTCTCCTGGATTCGTGGCTCAATTACTAATTCTACAGCAGATTCATTCCCATATGATTGTAAGCCTTCCGGCTGAAATGCCCGCCTTGTATAATTTAAAAGTGCATCCGTTTAAGGCAATCAACACATTTTTTCGGGAGAAGGAAGAGGAGAAAGCAGTCGAAGATGATTGGAAGTTCTCAGCAATGGTCGTGGATCGCTTATGTCTTTTCATTTTCTCATTTTTCATTCTCTTTTCAACAATTGGCTTATTCGCTTCCGTTCCTCAGTTATCAGCGTCTTTTTAAATATCCATAGATGACATAGATAATTTTCAACTTCCTAGGTTAGAATGAAGAAAAGAAAGCAAGGAGTAGATCGAAGAAGATGAGGAAGATGACACAGACAAGACAGAGAGAGGGAGTGAGAGGGAGGGAGCAAGAGAAAGAGAGAGAGAAAGAAAGAGAGAATGACAGATAAGAATAGAGAGAGAGAGAGAGAGAGAAGAGACACAGGAAGATTTTGTTGTTTTTTTATGTCAAATATCTGAATGATCTCATGAAATTTTTGTTACAAAGGCCTATCTCTATATTTTTTTTTATTTCTTCCACTCTGTTCGAGTAGCATCCAATACACATCTACTTGTTCGATATACGTATATGTAAGAAAGTATGTGATTGTTGAAGATTTCAAACGCTTTCCAAGTATTTTTTTCATATAAATATACAATTATTCTGTCAAACATCAAGCTTCATGTAGATGGGGGCGTGGCTTCAAATAATTTTTCTTTAAATATTCTTCTTTATGTTAAAAATGTTGAAATTCTCATTTTTCCACTTTGCTTCTCTCCTCCTTCCTATTTCGATTTTGATCGGCAAAGAGAAAAAAATGCAATTTCATCTGAAGATATTCAATCTTTTATCAATTTACCATTATGTTTCTGTATTTTCCACGCAAATATACTATCTATTCTAACATACATAACTAAGTCCATATATAGACAGATTGATTATGAAATTTAAAATTCATTTTACACCTGTAGGACGGATAAACTTAAGCTTTTCAAGTTATAAAAGCTTGAATGGCTGTGACAACTTCTCATTCTTTTTTTTTCCTTCCTCGTCGTCTCCGTTGTTTCCAATAGCAAAATCTTTTTTTTTCAAAAAAAAAAAAAATTGAAACTTCAGATGTCATCTGGACAGAAATCGTCCTTGAAACGTTCGATCGTCTTCTGCCATTCAATTCGTGTGTGGATATATTTATTCTTATTATTTACTATAATAACAAGAATTGAAGCTGATAGTAGTACAAATTCTGATGATGATTCAGGAGAATTAAAAGATTTTAATAATCACGTTAGTAACTATTTGTCAAATATATATCAGCCGGAGCCGTGCGGTCCTCATCCCCTTCAATCTATTCTAGACCACTATGGTGGAAAATGTATGTTTCACAAGTTATCATTTACAAACACACAAATACCACCAATTGTACCTCTCACCATAATTGAATTTGTCTTTGAAAAAACGACTGACTGAACAATAATCTCCAAATATTCTGTTTCAGTATCACATACGACAATTGTTCAACTTTTAATTCAATTACGACGACGTGCTCGACGACTCTGGACTGCCTATGAGAACGCTGTTTCAAGGTAATTTCTTCCACTGCCTTTTGTTTACAAAATGAATTGAATGTCAAAAACGAGGTTTCAATTCAAATTCGATGTGCTTTTCCTCTTTCTTGCTCTTTCTCTCTCTCCATTTCTCATACTCTTCCTTACTCTTTCTCTTTCTCGCTCTCTTTCAATCTCTCTCTATGTCTTCTTTTCATATTTAACCTCACAAAAAATACTAATTTTGTCAAAATACTTTACGAAAACAATCAAAGAATGTGAGAAAGGACGAAAGCAGAAAAGAAAAGCAGAGAAGAAGAAAAAGCGCTGTTCGTTCGATTCTACTGACTTGCATTGCATTTTTTTGATAAAAAAATCATTTAACTATATGGAAAGAGAGAGAGAAGTGTAAAGAAGGAGGGAGAGAAAGAGAACAATGGTCACAACACCTTAAAATTGAAAATAATTTCATTTTAAACCATTTTAAAGTACAATTTGTTATCTTCATTATCTGCGCTGTTCAGATACACAACATGTATTCTGGCTACGGGCTCCGGAACTCTTGGATAGGATTGTAATGGCTGTAGGATGCTCACATAGCGAGGCCGAATACAGAAAATATTTTTCATATTTCTTTCTTCAAAACCTTATCTCCTTCAAGTTATTTTCATCTTGGGAACACGTTCGTCTACTTTTTTGATTCTTTATTAACAGCTTTATTTTTATAATAAATTTGAGTTTAAAAAAATGGAAATGTGATACACGTAGATTAAAGAGCAAGTTGTATGTTTTTTGAGCAAAAACTATAATTTTTCATATAAATGTTTCTTTTCTTTTCTCTCTCTGAATTTCTGTTTCAAACTAAAACCGCCGTGTGTTTGGTATGAGAATTTGACAAATGCACACTTCTTGGTGTTGTTGTCGTTGTCGACGATAATGGTAAGTATAATCTTTCTAAGTGCCAGTAATAGTGCCATAATATGAAGGTAAATATCCAATTAAAAGTGAATCTGAAATGAAGAACATTCAGCGTTTCCTTACAACAACAATCTGATTTGATAAAGGTTTGACTATGAAGCTTGTAAAACATCGGATATGACGTCAAGTACACGAAAAACGAGGATATCATAACTTAGATATGCAAACGAAAGAGAATAACGGGTGTTTGTGAAGCAAAAACATTGAAGCCCGATGCGGGGCTCGAACCCGCGACAGCCAGATTAAGAGTCTGGTGCTCTACCGACTGAGCTAACCGGGCTGAAAACTCGAATGAATGTTTCTTTCCCACATTCTTTTTCATTGGCATATGCTGTGGAAAGAAACCTGTTTCATTTCTTCGTTCTCTACTGAAGAAGAAAAGGACATAATATTTCAAAAGATTGATTACTTAAACTTTCAACATACCCGAAGATGTAAACGCCCATTTGGATAGCCAACTCGACATCCACTCTTCCTCCCATAGCTTCAAGCATTTTAGGTGCGATAGCCATGGTCAGCACAGATAGCCCCAGGGAATAAGAAGATTGCATTAAGAGACCTGGAGCATTTGTCAACTGCTTGCCTCTACCAAAGACATACCTGGCCAATAAAGCCATAAAGGTTTCGGGATGCAAAATAACGCTAGAATGCTGAGACTTAAGGCTGAACTGTGTTCGATGGTCCAAGCAAATCGCATATAGCCACCATCTGAAGGAGGAACTTAGCTAAGAGAAAAACAAGTTGATAAACCTAAGTAGTTGGCAACACATTCCTGAGTACCCAAAACTCTGCGCATTAATCCAAAGTCGAAAATAATAACATCGTGAGCTAGTATTTGATCCTTAAATACAAAAAGTTCTTCTTGGAAACAATGCATAGCGAGAAGCGTTCGGCAACAAAATTGAAACTGACCTCAAAAGGTGCATCGAAGGTGATGTTTGAGCGACACAAAAACACATGGCGATGCATATAAATAGAAAAAATATGCTGAAATAAGGACAATGACGAAAGTGTGGCATAGGGAAGTTCAGTGAAAAAACAAGAAAGATTATATGTTTCGAAGCTGAGAAGTGAGGGAATGTTGAATGGTGTATGGAGAACGAGGGGACAAGAGAAGAGAGAAAATCAGAAACATACCTGGAATAAGGAAGAAGAAGCAACAAACAACTGGAAGAAAGCAAAAATGATGGCCAACGGTCTGTTTGGTATTCGAAGATTACATAACCGTGTTTCTCTCTCTTCTATATAAATACACCAAAGTAATCGCATATCTGAAATTGATGATAAAAAAAGATTTTTCTTTTGTGAAATAAAAGAAAAAAAGAAAAATTCATGGCATTTTACATGTTGTGCGGAAGAGGAAATGAATATTTCACCGAAAAATAATATTTTTAATGTTAACAGATAGTTAATTATTCTGACTAAAACTCTTTAAGTCGTTGTGAAGGAGGGGGATTTAGGCCATTATCAATTCTCTCAACATATGTGAACAACTGAAAAAAAAAAGAAGAAGAAGAAGAAGGTAGAGAGAGAGTTACTAAGTAGAAATAGAGAGTGTTCATGCATTGGGTTGAATGTAAGAGAAGATTCCCTCATATCACCAAATCACTACATACAAAACTAGTAGCCCAAAAAATGCTTTGGAATCGCAATATTTTTCAATTAAACCTTAAAATCTTTTCACATCCTGTTTGGGATGGAAATTGCCGGAGGCGAAATCACCTTTATCTCGCTCGCTTCTCTCGAGCATTCTCTCTCTCGTACACAACAGCATAAGTGACGCATTGAAAGTCCAAAAAATTTTTGTGAAAAGTAAAAAGGAAACTGAACAGTACGTGAGAGGTGTGGATGAACAAAATATGGCAGAATTCATTAAATTATTAGAAATACAATTGTTTATGAAAAAAAGAAAAAAAAATCTTTCATAGGAACAATCAATTAAGATAATTATGCAAGCTTCAATACAGAAATCAAGCGATACAACGAATTTTTCATGAAATTTTCAACAATTGAAAATTGATTAGAAAAAAAGAAATGTAAGCTTATGCTTAGATTTTCTGTTGAAGACGTCAAGAAAAAATAAATGTTTAGCCCAAATATGTGTATATACTATGTGTCGTGGGATTTTTTGTATACAAAGTTTCGTTAAGTTCACAAGTTGAAGTTGAGTTTTGATGTCATAAACTCCAAATAAATTTGGAAAAAGAACCAAATATGAATAAGGTTTTGTACTCTTCAGCTTCATCTCTCTGCTTATGAAATCTCTTTTTTCTATTCCATTCTCTTTTGCTCTTTTTCCAACTATCTCTCTCTCTTTCTCTTTCTTTCTCTCTCTCTCTCAACACCTCATTACTGTTGTCTATCTCTACATACATGTTCTAGCTCTGTTTCTCATTTCCCCCTCTTTATTATTTCTTAAAGAATCTCCTTCTTTTTTTATCTTTCTGCCTTCCTCTCACTTTCTCTTCCTCTAACTCTAACTATATGTCTAAGCCACTACAATTCATAATTCGAACAAAACTTCTATCATCTCGAATTTTCATTTAGGACATCAGATTCAGAATATTTGAAAATATGGTGGAGCTCATTTTCATAAACGTCGAAACGGAGTGAAGTGCAGACAACGTCAGAAAACTCGTCGTTTTCACCTGTGACAACGGATACGAGTAAATGAGAAACGATTTTCATTATATTCTTTAAAATTTTCCAAAATAGTTTCATCTGTTTCTGTATTAGTTCGAATGAAGATGGGTAAAACAAAAAAAATAAAGAATATGTTCAGAAATTGTGATGATTTAGAACTTAAAGCTTAAGCTCTGAGAAGTAGTAAATTCTCTCTCTCCTCCTTCTCCTCCACCTCCCCCTCCTTACTTCTCTTTCAATCTTTCTCTCTCTCTTTCTCTCTCTCTTTATCTTGCTCCCTTACTTTCGACCTTTTTTCTTGCAGTTAATGTTCTCTTTTTATATGAATCTTGCATTTGAAACTGATTTGATAATCATTAACTATAAATAGTCTGTTATGTATAATTTATAGAGAGGTAATATAGTAATATAGCAAGTGGGAGAAAGAGAGACATAAAGCTATCATTCATTCCACTTTACTGACTCAAAATCATTATTTAATTTAAAATGTTCACAAAAAAAATGAGTGAGCTCTGCGAAATCTAGAAAGATAATTTATTATTTCAAACAAAAAACTTTTCTTTTTTTTTCTTTTCTGCATAATTATAAATTTAAATATTCGAAAGAGCAAGTTCAATCAGCAGTTGTTACGAGACGAATAATTAAGTTGTATGAAAGCGGAATAAAACATTATTCAAATAAATATTACAAATACTATACAGGGAGAAGGAGTAGTGAAAAGTAGGGAGAGGGGGGGGAGAAGGAAAGGAAAAGAAAGGAAGGGTGTTTTTGTCTGTAATAGTCAGTTGAATAGAAAGAAAGCTTTCTTTTTTCATTTATTAGACGTTATTCCTTTTTAGAGGCAAATTCAAAAATTAACAATTTCCCCCACACATTCTGGTATATATCTTCAACTGTCTTTACGTCACTTCTCATTATTCAACTATATAATTAAGCAAATGGTGAAATGACAATTATCAAATTCTATTTCATTTTACTTTTGATGTATATTTCTCTTCAACCTTTATTATAATATATAGTTCATTTGCATACGATTACGTGATGACTACATTTTACGTGAACATTTTCACGTCAAAAAATCGAAGCTTCATTTGAATGTTGGACGCATTGATGTACGGTTGTTCATGAACTCCTATTCAATATATCTCAAATCTTGCTCTCTATCTCTCTTTATCTATCTCTATCTCTCTCTCTCTCTTTTATATTAAAACTTCATAGTATATCCAGGTTTATGCTAATTTTTCCTTTTCTTCATTTTATTTATTCGGATGTTGTTAATTCGCTTAGATTAAAACATTTTCATCTTTTTCCTCTAATATGTAATTCTATTTTATAATCTTTCTAAACTCTTATTTTCTCTTCTAACATGCATCTATCCATCTTTCCATCCTGTCCACTTAATGGTTAATCTTTAAATTATATTCTAATAAGATAATAAATTATGTTCTAATTTAATTTTCAATAAATAAACATTTCACGTGTACTTGTGTGTATGTGAATATGGGAAAAAGTAGAAAAAAAAATGAAAAAAAAAAAATTTATTTTTAACTTCATATATAATTTCAAATGAAAAGAAGTAATTGTCATACACATGATAAAGCTCCCTTGAAATGAATGTGGATACTACATAGGTGAATGCTGTACACTCCTTCTGGACACGCAATATCTGAATCATTATAATGATCTCAAATACACTCACACACAAAAAATGAAATAAAAAAGAGAACCGAATTGTATTTTTATTAAAACAATTCACATGTGACGTTCGCACTTGATGAAATCTAATAAGAGCAGTTTCTTTTTTTTCCTCCTATTTCTCTCACTTTCCTATTTTGCGAAACATCAAAAATCAACAATTATAATTAATAATTACTAAATATAGACAAGTGTATGCATGACCAAACAAGGCAAATCATATATACTGGCTTCAGTGAAAGCTAAAACTACTTTGATTTAACTGTTCAACGGGGCAAGTTGTGTTTACTTTATTTATACTTTTTCCTTTTTTCTTCTTCTTCATTTACTTCTCCTAGAAACACGAAAAGAATTTCATATCATAACCATGCCCTTATGACCTAATTAGTCATTTCACGTTTCAAACTTTCGCGCCAACTTCTGTCATACAGAATAAAAAAAATGACCATCGTCATCCGTTCCTAGTGGCGATGTCGTTGAGCGGACAGCAGTTTATTCGCGGCCTCTATCGAACATAATTTTTTTTGTTTTCCTAATCTGTAAGAACGAATTTCGTTTTGATTTTCTTTTTCCTACTTTTATATGTGAAATTGGAAACTTGTCACGTATAGCCCTTTATTGATTGTTTACCTCCTTATTCGTATGAAGGTTTATATTAAACAGCAATTAAGTCGAACACACCTGCTCTCTCTTGTCGTCTCATCATTTGCCATCCATCTATGTCGTTTCATATATTCATATGAATGAATTTGTCCGTATAACATCCCACATTCGGTAGTCATGACCACACAACATGAGGTGAACGCTTCGATTTATTGGAATTTTCGTTTCGTTTTTATGATTTTACTAATTTTATTTTAATGATGAGAATTAAATGCATTTTTGTACACAAAAAAAATTGTTGATTAATGAATTTCCCCAACATACTATGGTTTCGATTGGAATAGTGGGGAGAGGAGCGAGCCTGCAGCAGCGGCTGTAGCAGCAAATAGAACAAAACAGATCCTTTCTCGTCTACACTCACCAACATCACAGCTATCTTGCTTGCTAGCTAGCTAGCTAGCTATTGCTAGCAAACCAACAACGGCCGCCGGGCCGGCCTTTGCTGTTCAGAAGAACAAAAACGCTTATCGATTAGGAAAGGAAGAACGAGGCCGCCGCACTAAGAGTGTCAGATGGAGAAAGCAGAGCGAGAAAGAAAAGGGAATGCAAGTGATGATGGTGGTGAGTGGTTATAAAGAGGAAGGAAACACATCTTCTTTCTTATTATCTTCACAAAACAAGTAAGATTCCGAGTTTTCATGAAGTTTCGATGAAGAGTTCGAGTACTTTTTTCCAAATTCTCACAATAAACGAATGTTGACGTTGAAAACCAACTAAAATCTGTCTGAGAACGTCCAAAGCAATGGATTTATCTTTGTGTTGTTTCCTTTGTACGCTCATTTCAACAAAAAAATGTTATTATGAATCATAAATACGAAATGTTTCTCTCATACATTCAACATCAGGAAATTGTCATTTTTACAAACTTTTGTCAGCATTATATTTAATTCTGAAACAAAGACAGTTCTCACGATATATCTTCACCCATGTGGTCTCTCTTTTCAGTCTCTCATTAACTTCCTTACCTCTCTCGCTCTCCTTCACTTCATTCATCTATCCCTCTTCTCTCATCTCTTCTCACTATTTTATTTTGCCATCGATTTGTTTCATCGACGCATTAGCATAGCGACCGCTTTGCGTCTCTGTTCGCGTCCTTTTTCCAATTGGTCTCGTCACGGCCGCAAAGTACGGTAGCCCCCCAGCATGCTCTGGCTTTCCATCGCATGCATATGTAGCTTGAATTATAGCGATTTATTATAACTTAATGCTTTTTTTCGATCTTTTTCTGCTCTGTTTCGAAGTATATCAATGATATGTCTATTAAACAGCTTTTACAGATTTTGTGAATTGATTATTATGTTCACATTTTCCAAAACTTGACGAGAGATCAATATGGCTTGTCCCGAGTTCGTTACTCTGCGTGATGGAGAGCGTTTCAATCCAGCTACATTCACCAATATCATATTCGTAGATGATGCTAGAATACCACTGGAGAGAAAATCTGCTAATTCATTAGCAGAGTATCGAAAAGTGAGTCAAATTTAAGACCAAAGTTGCGAAATTCTTGTTTTTTCTCTTGCAGCATTTCAAATCTGACAGTGTTAAACTTGCTACAGCACAATTCACACCTTTCAAAACTGAGAATTTGCCTGTTCCTTACAAATATACAGATGAGTATAACAACTATACAGAGCCGTCGGCTGCAGACTATGACGCTATGATTGAATATGTTTGTGATGAAGAGGTTCGTTAATCTATTTGTCTCTTTTTATCGTTGTTGTCTACAGGACGGTTTTTGGCTTGAATTAATAAATGAAAAACGAAAAAGGAAGAGGTTAAAGCCATACACAACGGACGTAGTCGAACAGGTAATCGATCGACTGGAGAAGGAGAGCGTTTTTGAGGTTTGGTCTCAATATTTCTCATTAATTTTATAATGGCTTTTTGCAGGTAAGAGGACCAAACTCAATGATGCCCGGCTCTTCCATGGACACGGATGATGCTTGCTGTATCTGCGGTGACGGTGACGTCAATAATGCCAATCAAATTATTTACTGTGATATGTGCAATATTGCCGTTCATCAGGTATGTATTCGTTCCAACGTTCATGTCCTAGTTCAATATGATTAGGAATGTTATGGAGTTCCGTATATTCCTGAAGGACAGTGGCTCTGTCGTAGATGCAAACTCTCTCCATCCACGTCTGTGAATTGTTGTTTGTGCCCGAATTCCGGAGGTGCATATAAACAAACAAGTGACGGCCGATGGGCACATGTCATCTGTGCTATTTGGTTGAATGAGGTTTGTTCTTTTTAACCATTTGCTATAATAAGAATCTTCTTAAGGTACATTTTGGGAATGCAGTTTTTCTTGAACCTATCGAGGGAGCCGAAAATTCGTTAAAACGAAGGGCGAAGTTAAAATGTCTGGTTTGCAGGTGAGATGAGATATTTGTCTAAGTTAGTAAACTGTGAATCTAGAAATAAGATGGGTGCCTGTTTGCAATGCTCAACTAGAAGTTGTCTCAAAGCCTTTCATGTTACTTGTGCTCAGCAATCGGGTATGTCGATGCGAGTAACTGCTAAGCCAGACGCTAATGATCCTGATGGTTTGGATGTTCAAGTAATAGAGATCATATATTTCGAAAATATACTTGAAATTCAGAGATTCGTCTATTGCCATTTACATACGGAGAATGATAGAGAATGTGGAGGCAATCCACATTCTCGTAAGAAGCGAATGGACGATGCAATTCGTAATGCTAGGCGACATATGGCTGTAAAAACCCATAATGGGCCCACAGTTAAGTATGAGTGCAGAACGATCATCGTTTTCTAATTTTTCTTTCTTAGTATGCCAAAGATTACATTTGAAGCAATTGAGAAGATTGCAAATGCCGTTTGCATCGATATCTCGGATATTGTTCAGTTCTGGTATATGAAAAGACAGTCTCGATGTGGGGTTCCTTTGATCAAAAGGCTTCAGGTGATTAGATATACTGATGAAAATCTTAATTAACAGTTCAGATTAACCAGAAAGTATCCAGAGTATCTATTTCTCATGAAGATATGGATGATGAAGACCGTTATTTGGCTCAGAGGTATCTAATCTATATCTGTTCAGTCGCTCATACTTGATTCAGATATCAAAAAATGCGTCGTGGGTTAGAGACTGGTCGTCTGCTTTGTGAACAAATTAAGAAAAGAGAGATTCACAAAAGAAATCATGTGAGCATGATTAGCTATGAATTTGCGTTCATTGCTTTCTTTATAGATTCTGGCATCCAGAGATATTTATAAATACGTCTCATCTCCTTTATATAGCATCATCAATCATACTATAAAAGCTCTTCGGCATAGAGATAAGATGAAAGTGAGACTTTCTTGTTTTTCTTTTTATAATATGATATGAACTTAGGTGTTTTTGGAGCCTGTCCTCAATGTTCCGGGTTACGAAAGTATAATAAAGAAACCTATGGATCTGGCTACTATGCAGAAGAAAGCTGATGAGTTCCGATATGGTATATTCCAGTATATGTTCCTTCTCATAGTTCCTCTTTTCAGCAAATATGAATGAATTTAGAAATGATTTCAATCAAATGATGGACAATTGTAGAAAGTTCAACCATCTGAACAGCTGGTATTTGAACTATGGGGAAAAATTTGACAAAAATGGTACCCGAATAATAAAGTCCGGAATTTCCACTCTGAAAACTTTTGAAGAAGATTTCATGGTAGTGAATGTTATCGTATAAAATTCAAAATATCCTAATTCAGGATGATAAGTCGCAAGTGGAAGATGCTTTAAACTTGATGTTTTACAATCATGTGGAAATCACAGATTACGAAAGCATGATTGAAAAAGAACTGGATGCTGGCAAATTAGGATATTATTTGTAAGTAACGTTGAATAATTTCTTTATCATTGCTTATGTTTCAGAGAAGGAAAGCGCAGGACGCCTTCTCCTAAACCTGAAAAAAAGGCGACAGCCACTCCAAAAGATGTAGCAGGGGTGACTGCTAAGAAAGAGGCCGGTATGGCAACTCCTAAAACGGAAAAGGAAAAGCCTACTACTGCGTCTACCCCGAAAACAGAGAAGCCTGCTAATACAGTTACTCCTAAATCGGAGAAGCCTGCATCTGGGGCAACGCCCAAAACGAAAGAAGCTGCTTTAGCTTCTACTCCAAAATCCAAAGAGCCATCAGCTAATACAACAGTTACTCCGAAGTCGAAGGAACCAAATGGAACTACGACTCCTAAAGCTTCTATCTTTGGTATTTGTATTCGATTTAGCTTCATACTCATTTGAGAGTTCTAGGTGCTGATCTTCCCAAATCTATGACGAAGCGCAAGTGTTCAACACCCGTAGGGAAGAAAAATAAAAAGATAAAGAGAGGTTCAACAGAAGGAACCCTCTTTAAACAACCAAGTATCACTAAATTTTTCGAGCCTAATCCTAGCGCAGAAAGAAGAGCTAGTTTACGACAAGTACCAGCTCCGCTTATGCAGTTCAGAAACAATGTTACCAGGTAATATAGAGTAACTCCGAAATTTAATAATCAAATACTCTTCATAGTCCTTTGCCAAGCGATATCCCTTCATCGGAATCGTCAGCAGAAGAGGATGATGTAAGACCACATCGCAGAAGCGCACGGTTAGGAGGCAACAATGATTCCACAATTCAGTCGAAGGTAATATATTGGGTGCTTCCAGTAGATATTTTTTGATTTTCAGGACGATTGCGACGGATTTCAGCATAATGATATTGTTACGGTAAATGGTTTAGCTGGCAGGTACGCTTGTTCGAATTTCTTCTCTCCTATAATTATCTTTAAAGGGTTATCGATCCCAATCAAGCCTCTTTGGACGATCAAATTCCTCTCACTTTGAAAACTGAATGCCGGACTAAACAGCGTAAAGATTCCAAAATTTGTGTCATGTTGTTCGGCCAAGAAAACAAATGGTAGATTCCTAATGTTCCAACGGTTAATAATCACATATGTTCAGGGATTGGTATCCAGCGCATGAAATTCAATCAGCTAATATATTTGGTAGTTGTGACGGAATCTCGCCGGGGTCTCTAAGACAAGCACGTCAATGGTTTGTATTAGTTTAGATACATTCTGAATTTTACATTTCTAGGCATCACAACATAGTTAGTAGTGTTTGAGAAGTGCAAGGTGAATGGTCGGTTGAACCGGCTCCGGATCAAGTAATGCATTTTTGGAATACATGAAGCTCAAAAACCTTATTTAATATTTCTCGATTCATCCGGGTTTCTGTTTCATTTCCATTAAAATAGTTGGTTTTATTAATCTGCATCATCTCATCTGTTGTTATGCGAGTTAGGTCTAAATTGTATGAAGTGCATCATTTTCATACTCTACAGTGTATACATAAATACTTGATTTGCATAGTAACCTGAACATTGATAATTTACTTTATTAATCATGTATTGTATTCTACGGTTAGTTAGGAACTTTCTTTGTTGGAAACTATTAGTGTATCCATGTATATAATAATGAATGTAAGCTTTATTTGAAACCCGTTTTTCTTTTTTCCGTAAGGAGATAAGTCAAGATCACTATGTTAAGATATTCAGTTATTTCGAGCGTTGGCTTCGTTGAGGTTTTTAGCCAAACTAGATGATCGTGAAACGGCTTGCCGTCCCTTCGGGTCCTTTGACGAGGGATCACGAATCGAGGTCGCTGAGGTCGCTCGGGATAACTAAAACTAGCAGTGGTTAATGACTGGCAAATCAATAAGATTACCTGGCGCAGACTATTGAGTGACTGATTTTTGGTGAGATTAGGATTGGATGTATTCAATGAGTAAACTGAACATTTGGAAGAAGGGGCTGCCCATATTTGGCGGTCGGCAGATCCCCAAATCGAGAAAAATACTACCGGTAAGGCAGCCACAAGGGCTGATACCCGGAAAACAATAGCCCATTCAGTAGCCGACCCTAATAAACATGATAATACTCATTTGAAACTGACAATAGTACCTTGTTGAACAATATGCTTCGTCAAAATCTTATTACCAATACTGAACCAAGCTACAGCAAAGAATGACCACCCTGTTATGATTCCAGAAAAAGGAGGTGCAATTTGTACCAATGCCGTAATAACACCCGGTGTATGCATACCTATAAACATGTTTGTGAAGCTTCATTAAAATTAATGCAAACGTTCTGTGCAGCTGTTTGTTTTAGTCAACTTTCAGTATTGCACTGTAGCGGTACAAACACATGAATGTTGAAAAAATTGCGTTTACAACATGTGTAAAGATCATTTTTGAATTAACTCTTTCGAAAGAAATTGGTTAATTTTGTCGTGAAGATTGTATAAAACAATTTTTCTCCAACTATTACAAATCTATTCATCATAAAGTGCAATCGACTGTTTCAACTGATGAAACAACTTACCGGCGAAAACCATGGCTCCAGACAAGGAGAATACGGACCACAGAGCATGATCTTTATCAAAAAACGGAACAGCAAATATACAAATGGATAATCCTGCTGACGCTGTAGCATTGAAGCACTGAAACATTGCAGGATGTACTGTTACACGGAATAGAAAGATCTATGACAACATACTCATTATGCTAATGCGATTTAAGTTGCACTTGTCATTTTATAATGAATTGTGACTCTTACCTTGCAAACAAAAGTCTTGTTATAATGTCTCTTCGTAACCAGAAAAGATGAGAAAGACGATGAAAGTGTTTTGGACACGAAGAGACAAAGAATAGGTAAAGCCGCCATGAAACCATTCTGAGTCGGTGCAAATTCAAGAACATCGCGCATATAGTTAGGTAAAAACTGGAAAAATGTTAAAGATATATGATTTCAAGACGGTGCGTACCTGTAACATGATGACCAACGGATATTCATGGCAAACCAAGGCAAAAATTGCAGCCCACAGTGCTCTTGAGCGGAGCATAGACTGATACGGAATTCGACGAGTACGGTCTGTTCGTTTACCGATTGATTCACATGCAATTCTGTATGATAAAGTATAATACAATATTATTTTCCTCTTCGAAGAAAGAGATGAACATACCGACTCTCTATGAAGTCCCGTTCACGTCCAGAAATACAGCATTGTTTGGCTGGTTTATCAGCGCCAAAGGGAAGCCAAAACAGTGTGACAAGTATAGAAATTGTTGCAGATAAGTAGAATATAGCTGGCCAGCCATCAAGTAAATCTTTACGAGTACAAAGATATCCAGCAGTTGGAAGAATGAATAACGTTCCTATAAATTGTCAATGAAATCAAACACTCTTTCATGGTTGCTAAAGTGCTGCGTATCCCCATTCTCTCTAATCACTTGAACGCTAGCATAGTTCCAAATATGGCGATAGCCATTACTTATCTCTCTGAGAATGTTCTGTTTTTGTACTAAATATCACCCACAAGATCATTCAAAAGCTATGAATAGATAAAAAAAAACAGCAAAAGATGAAAGAAGCTAGAGTACAAAGAGACTAAACATGGAAACTCGCTTGCAAAATGATTATCACAAATTGATAGAAGAAGATACGACATGTAACAGAACGTATCAGCTGATGAACGATGTTTTCATCTCGTTTCACAGAAATTTCAAATAAGCGAAAAATTATCAAAATTAGCATGAATTTCATAAACGAAATGAGTGAGCAGATATAAAGCTAACACTGACTAACCTATTTGACGACCTCCAGATATCAATCCTATTGCAGCAGCTCTTTCTGATTGTGGAAACCATCTTAAACACTCAAAATAAGCAACAGACTTATAAACAAGGAATTCATATAATTATATATCTCGAAATGGATGTAACCAGTCTACACGTAATTATGCGAAAGAATGAAGTGAGTCGATTTCACGTACTACATATGACGTATGCTAATTTCTTTGCCGCAAATAATTGAAAAGAAACAACTCGAACAATACCTGGTGATTAAAGAATTGCATGCTGGCATAAGGCAAGCATCACTAGCTCCGATTGCTACTCTAGCCATTACAGCAAACCAAAAAGAGTCATGAGCTAAGTATGGCAACATCAAATTTCCGAAACAGCAAAGAAGTAAAGCAACGAACACCTGATATCAAGAGAAAATCAAAAGTTAAACTGTTGACCAATATACCATCCATTTTCCATTTATGCGGTCAGCCCAAACGCCTGTTACCAGAGTTAACAAACTTCCAGCATTCTGAGCTGCCAGAACGAGACCTTGCTTTAATCAAATAATAAAAACCCGCAGGTCAGCTGAACGAACTTCTTCGGATTTCCAATCCAAGTTTCCTCCATAACCATGTACAGGGCAACTTGTCATACATATAAGAGCAACAGCTAAGTTTGATGATGAAATTGATAAAGTAATGAAGCAACAGCAAAGCATAGCTGCCAGCATAAGACGCATGGATGGAAATAATACGGAAGGAGGCTCGGCATATTCATCTGTAAGAAGAATTGGTTGTATATGTGGAATCTTTTTTCGCAACCAGGCTCTTGTTGAAAGCTTATTGGAGTGGCTGTGGTTTGATTTAAAGCGTTCGATATGACAGTCTCATCACTGGGACCTGAAAAAGATGATTTTAATGAGGCAAAGAGGTGAACTAACCTATTCTAAAAATTGTTTTTTCTGGTGGAGGATCGAGACTCGTGACTTTTCTATGAACTGACATCTGATAGAACGGAAGAACAACGACTGTTACCGTCTATGAGAAAAAGAAGGAAGAAAGAGAGGGGGGAAAAAGAAAAAAGTTGAGATTGTCGTCTACGGTTGGTCTTCTTTCCTTCTTCTAAAGACAGTCACAGACTTCGAAGGGCTAGTGATAGCAAGGCTGTGGTAGTGGTCGTCAAAGAAATCTTTTTGAAGACTGCAAGAGTGAATCCAATAGAGAGACACTAGATGGAGAACAGGAAAAAATATACAACAAATTCACAGAGAAATGAAGAAATGATGATAACGAAGACGCGGTCGATGAGATTCTTTTACTGTCGTTAGAACGACATACGACGCTGTTATTTGACACATCTGAAGGCATCGTTTGTGTGAAAGAGAGACACAAGACGGTTATTGGACGATGGGCGACTATGGACAACGGCGGCGAAGACGGTGTTGCTGCCGCTGATAGGCTAGTGATACACAAAGTGCCCCATTCAATCTCATCCTCTTAATTACCCTTTCTCTTTCTCTCTCTTCTTATTGTTTCTTTAGCAGCTAAATTTGACCAGTGAGACGTCATTAACCATATGTCATTTTATGGCAAAAGAAAACTTTTAATTGTAATTTTCCGGGGCACTGCCGTTTGGAATGAAAAAAAATTTTTTTCCGTAGGAAATGGAAAAAAGAATGTGATGTGAACTTCAATTTACTAAAATATCGAGTCATGTGGCAAGAAAATTTTATCTAAAATCATTAATTAGGTAGACGAGAAGAAGTCGGAGTGTCATTACTTCTCAAATACTGTAAGATGCGATAATCCTCATTTCTGTAAGTTACTCATACAACAACGTTATCAAATCGGAATTGGACATACTTTCGATGGATGTAAAGACGATATTGTCCTGACTGCTTAGGCGTCGGTTCTAAGGTTAACAAAAACATTTCATCATAAATGCGACGATGGAACGTTCGACGACATCCGGCACTTCAATTGTTTCAATAAATTCTCATTTTTCCTTTATTCTCATCAGAAGCAATCAATGAAACTTACTAAATACTTGTGTCTTTCTCCCATTTCAGATTTAAAACCAAATATTGGCTGAGAACGGTTAGAATGTGCCAAGATGGTATTCCATCAATTTCAAAATAGAAATATGTGATTGACTTCAATAGCTTCGGTAGACACTGTAATCGTTTCTTTGACAATTTCGATAGTATCTCTAACTTACCTTCATTATTTGGCCGATAGGAAAGACGAGATATTCAAGAAGACGCAATGTACGAGATGTTCTACGCACATTAGGAAACCAACTCTTTGGATACGCGGCATTCACGAATATTGAAAGATAGTTGTATGAACGAGGACGTATTGGAATGAACCAATAATCAGACAAATCTGGATTTTCTTCTAAGAACTTAGTTAATCTTCTGGAAAAAAGCAATCACGTGAGTTCATCAACAACAGCTATACCAACCTGGGCGTATACTGTCGACTTATATGAAAAGAAGCGAAGTCATACATATCAATTAGTTGAATTGGAAAAGCTTCGAAGATCCGTAGTTCTTTTTGATATCCATCTAATTCACCTATAAGTGGTTGGTATTGTCAAATATCTATTTTCAATTACATACAGAAGTTCAACTGGATAACTTCAGAGGACGGTGTTGTTCCATACTGCAAACTCTGCTTCAAGATATCCTTCACAATTCCAGCAGGAAAACAGAACTTCAACAATACATATTAGAAAAAGAAAGAGATTTCATTTCTCACTGGATCAATGATTATTCTCCTGATTGGCTGACAAAGTATTCGAATGTTATCTTGTAAAAACCGTTCATGAGTGGATGAGTTCTGAGCAAAGAACTGTCGTATATCTGTTTTGGATAGTCTGTAAAGTCATGTAATCAATACCATTATGCCAAACTATAAAAATCACTTTAAAGACATTTTTTCATGATCAAGAGTATCATTGATATTCAATGTTAAAACATCTGCTTGGAATTTGTTGAGAACTTTGGCAAAAGCCAAAATATGGCAATAGCTAAGTCGTAGTTTATCGGTTTCATCATTCCAATAGGGTTTGCCTGTGGATGACTTTGTTCCAAATTCATTACTGCTATCTCTGAGTGGATGTAAAAGACGCTCTTCAGCTGTACTCGAACGTCTTCTTGTTAGACGCCTATGAGAGTTGGATGACTTTGGACGATGAGCAAAACAGTTCTCGTGTAGTTCGACAAAACAGGAATTGCATCGTCGAAGTGAAGGCTTCAAGAGATATGTCTCATCTGAAAGATTTGGTAACACGGAACGAAACTTTTTCATATTCTACTATCGTTTTGCTCAAATCTATTATGATCTCCTCGATGCTGTTTGGACATGTATAAATAGAATGATTTCCATAATTCAATAAGCCCTGAAAGCGGAAAACAATGATTAAAAACCACATCGACCATTCTAGAAACCTAGGCTAACACTCTGTCTATCCAAGGACGAAAGAATTGCCATTTGTTCCATTCTGAATCGTATTTCCGTATCAGCTTTTCTGGAAAGAAAATCTATTTCATAGAGCTATAGAGCTTGTTTTCTTCACATTTTGTTCATAATAAGCAACCAACTCGATCGATCTTGATGCAGAAAAATTCTATACAAATCATTGTTGAAAGAGTAATGATATGTTTGACAGGAGCTTGTGAATCCACAGAAACAATGTCTACAGGAGAATCCATAGTGAAACCAACACAAGAGAAAATGCGCACGAACCCGCTGGTGTTAGGCAGCCGATGAGAAAAGTTGGTTGTTATGATCCGAACAACGTCTTCATAACTGTCCATTTGGAATGAACAGCTAATCTTCAAATCCAATTGGTCGACATTTGACAGGATCTTATCAATCACCTTGAATAACCAAGATGTTTAAAAATAAAAGCCGAATAACAACTTCAAAGAGTTTTACTATAGTTTTGATAGCTAAGGAGGTTTTCTGATGACGGAGACTTTTCTCTGCCTGTGCATACACTGTGCCAAAAGGTGTAGATGTAACACTGATTGATAAAAAAATCGACGACGAAGGAAGATAACAATCTTCTGATGGCATAAGCCAGTCTCTCATATCTTTAGAGAGCATATCATCAAACTGCCTGAAGTTATTTACCCGATGAAAAGATTCATCTTAAAGCCTACTACACTTTTGCTACCTGAAGTTCATGTTTCTTCTGATGTGGATCGGTGGAGTGATATTCAGATAGTTCTTCAGATGATTGAGTTGAAAATGACTGATTGGTAACGGTTTCCGCATTATAATATCATCTGAAGAAGCTATAAGTTACAAAAATGGATCATCAATCTTGTAACTACTTAGTTTCAGAGTTATGAGACGGCAGCAACTATCTACTTGATAATTCGAAATTCGAAGACGTAGTTCATGAATCTTTAAACAAATTTTGGCTATTTCTTGTGAAGCTACAGGGCTATCTTGACTCAGAATTACATTAAAGGAATAAACTGCCGGCAGTCCATTCAACAGCTCTTCTACACATTCGGTCAAGTTATACTTATCTCTTAAATTATGATTCTCATTTCTACTATCTATTCAGTTTTATAGGCTTCACCTGTCTCTGTATGTTATTTCAGAAACTTTGCCGAGAGCCATTCCATAATCGTCACATCGTCCAAATAACAAGCTTTTCTTTCTGAATTCCAGAGCTGAAACCGATTTGATCAGCTAAGTCAGCCTTTTGAGTTAGTATATACAAAATGATGGTCTACAACCATAATCGTCAAACAAGACAGTCCCTGGATTTTCGGTTAGACGTCGAGAGGGGCCAGCTTAATAAATGCAAGTCAATCAAATTTTCATAACTTTGTTTCACGCAAACCTATCCATGCTCTCGCTTGCTCTATAAAGGCAACAGGACGACTGAACGAACGTTCAAGTAAAGCATTGCTGTAGACGGTTGTAGAACTGCTCATCTCTTGAATTGTTCGCAAACTTTGTAGGCTTTGCAAGTTGTAGTCAACTATTTTTTATCTGAGTAGAAGAGGAAATAAAATTTAAATTACAACGTAAAAAATAATTCAGACATCTGGTCAGGATAGTTTAAATTATTTTTTTGAATAAGAATGCAGCCGCACTTTGGGTAAATGAAAGAAAAATAATGATGTTCACGTGAAATTCACGTGCCTAGCGAGCACAAATGGAAATGAGGACATATCATACAATCGATTGGCTGGTATAAGTTTTAATGAAGGAGGAAAACAACAAAGTTCATATAAGAGTTGGAGATAAATAATGAATAAATAAATATATTTATATACATCGTTTCATTCGAGTAGGTCGGAGCTTCTTATACGCTGGTGACGTGCTAGTAGAGCCAACTGATGGATTGGAGTTGTATTCAAATGTTCGTTCTCAATGACAGATTAGATAAGTCAAAATACTAATAATTATATTTGACATAATATATAGAGGAGAGCTGAATATTTTCCAAACAATGTTCTCACTATAGACTGCTCGTCCTCTTTGTCGTAGCTCGTTAAGGAACATATAGTCAAACAGAAAACGATGCTGATCGTATTAAAAACAAGCCAGACCCGATTAAAAAACAACCAAAACCTTTGCTTTTCCTCAGTGCTTCAGATGTCTCTAGCAGATGAGCTACTAAATTGGCTTGTCATCTCATGGGCTTCTATTTTCACTCTCATTTTTCCGATTTCTTCATTCCTTACCCTGAATGTTTTCTCAGTTTTCCCGCTATCTAAAAAAACTTGGAAGACTAACGAGCTTAAGACTAGTTTCAATGAGTCTCGGAAAGATCTCTATAATTTTAATTTAATTCGTGTGATTCCCTTCTAATCTCGCCGTTATAAAGACTGTTCCAACATTGTTGCTGCCATAGTAAACGCCCATGTTTAGTTTTTCTTTAATTTCATTCAGAAACTAGGTTGCTCAATAGAACAGGAGAGACACTAAGAGGAAGAGAGAGAGAGGGATGAAAAAGAAAAAGACTTCATTACATTTCCAAGAGGTTCAAAGACCATCAACGATTGATGTTAAGAAAGTGCCCCGAAACTTACCAAATCTTATCTAAAACTTTGCTTTTTTCACTTCTTTTCACCTTGCAAATACAATTTTCCAACTATTTTGGAATTTATAGAACACCAATTTGACTAGTGACGCAATTCATGTGCCAAACCCCAGTATAACTTAAGAAATTCCATTTTCGACAAGAAAATACAAAAAAAGCTCAGAATTCTAGCCTTCATATTTGAGATACTGTTACATATAGATACAATAATTAACTAAAGACAAAAGAAATGGCAGTCAGAAGAGAGAGATAGGGGCTATATAGAGGAAGAGGAGGAGACGGAACGGTTGAGACGATGAAAGAAAAAAGGAATTATCTTTTACTCATAATAACGAATTCATATCTACAAAGCTGATAGCTCAAGTATGAATATTATAATCATTGATAGACAGACAAAAAATCTGCACTAACTAACTAAAAATGATAAGATCACCGGATCACACATAAACATTGTTCCCGATATGTTGGAAGTAAGAAAACCGTTCCCTACTTCTCATCCATATCAATGGATATTAGCTTTCAGGCAAGCGAATGCTGTAGTGCCACAAAAAACTTCTAGCAGACAGTATCCGAGAAAGGTATTTGGTTTCGAGATTAAACATAACAGAAGCTAAGGCCCGGAATAAATTAAGAGGAGTTGTTCCAGATACATACAGACCCTCTTTCTCTTGAATATACGAAAGAAATTCCAGAAGTTTGATAAGAAAAGCCCTCTTTGATGGGAACCGATTGAACCAATTCGAAATAATGAGCACATGGTGTAATGAAACGGAGAGAATACGGCTTCTCAGTCTTCCTCTGCAAAACAGCAAAAGGCAGTGCTGATGGGCCAAATCAAACCGCTGGCTCAATTCGAAAACTCTTTAAGAGAGTGAATGGAAACAGTAAAACGAAATTAAAGGATTCTAAGAGTAGACAAAAGTAAAAACAATACTTAATTACGACGAGGTCTGGAGAGCTAACGGACAAACTTGGTGAGGAGGACGTACAGCGTGTTGTCACTTTCAGTTTGCGGCACAATAGGCGGTTCGCGATATTCACCACGATAATCAGCATAACGAATCCGGCTGATCTGAAGAAGACATGAATTACTTCGAATTTTGGAAAAAGTAAACAGAGTTAAGAATAACAAGCAACTTACAGTCCAACTATTGGTCGGTAAAAACTTTCGGTTGACAATTTGGAAAGCGTTATTACTGCTACACAACATTAAAGCTCCGTCAGCTTGATCACTTGCCCCGGCTCGAACGCTTAACGTATTCATTATATTTATTGAAAACAAAAAATATTAAAGTGAACTCTCTTTTCTATTTTCACTCATTCAAAATGTTTTCGCAATAAACAGACTGCATTAGACAATCAAAAGATGTCCATCATTTTTTCGTTGAGCTCGTTTCATACCACAAAGGAGTGAAAATGACTTCTGCATTTTCAATTCTGCTATCATCCCCCCAAAAACTCTTCATCATGTCATGTCTGTCTCATGCTCAATGTCCTAGTTATAAACCGAAAAATAACTTCATTCGAGCTTAAGAAAACACACAAACATGCAAAGTTATTTTTTTGCTGCAGAAAAAGAGCAGGCCAGCTTATTCAGAGTGAAGATTTTTGGGGAAAAATTTAAACAAAAAACCTCTCATGTGACATAGACCTCTTATTGCACGAAAAGTATTTTCTAATATGTACCTATGGGCATGGGTGTAATTACAGAAGATCAGAAGCGGGAAACGCATTCAATTTCCTGTCATTGAATCAAACATTCCACTTTAACTTTTTCTTATTCGTCTTCTTCACTTTCTTCAAACTAAAATAGGCTCCCTTCTACCGTAGGAAAGGAAATAAACAGAAAGTAGGCTGCCAAAAGGCCACACAAAACCCGAAGGCAGAAGCATAGAGGAAGAAAATGAAGCTAGAACATCAAATGTCAAATATAAGTGAAACAAGATGTTAACCACATGCATTAGCCTAACCAACTATAAAGTTAAATGATGTCAGAGCCACTAATATAACTTGCATTAATTCAAGTTGGTAGCTTTTGCAGGCACACGGTACAGGCATACGACAATTCTGAACTCCCAGAGCAGCAGCACAGTTGCACACAGTTCACTCTCATTTCACTGTCTTTTTTTGAAATCCCCTTTCCCGTATTATACTTTCATTCCCTTTTTCTGTTCTCTATATTATTATTTACAACTAATTATTACCAATACTGTAGCATTCCTGTTCCAATTCCACTATGCTCACAGTCAGGTCGAACAGAAACGAGAGCAATGAAAATCTGAATATACAATGTATGATAGTGTTAAACACGGAAAACGTACTGGTCGGGCTATGTGATGTTCTTCACAGTGATAAATTACATCCACTCTGTTGAAAACATATTTCAAAAATTCAACAGCAATTCTCATCTTCTCATCTTCAAACTTGTAGAGGCAAAGCCTGTCCATCTTTAAACAGGGAAATAAATATTCGGAAAATAGTTAGAATAGCTAACCTGTTTCTCAAACAGTGTAGATCTACTAGCCAAACACACTCCAGTTAATCTTCCTTGATCATCCCTTGTCCCACAAGAAGCAGGGCATGGTAGACAATCACGAATGACATCCGTTAGTAAAGTTCGAAGTTCGTTTCTGGAATTACGAAAAAAACATTCAATCACACAAGGCGAACTCATTTCAAGACATCAAATTCAAGGAACTTGCACAATGCTCAATGGCTTTGGAAACAACTTTTGAGAAAAAAATTCAAAAATTCAATGGTGAAAAACCCAAATCTGCTGTCCAGCAGAGAGAGTGTAAAATATGGTGAAACGCTGGATTATGGGTAATCTACTTGGATTATTAGTGGATTGTTAACAAAAGAAGCCGATCGCTTGCTTCTGCTCCCCATAGAAACTGCAGTATTTTGAGACCCCAACACAAAATAGAAATAAAGTTGAAAATCTGACCTGTTGTTAATGTTAAGACTGGACAAAATAGGTTCACTGGTAACAAAATATTCCATCAAAAAAGTTATAACCTAAACAGAAGTGTAATCAAAAAATATGGTCATTATGGAACTACCTCTTCTTCATCTGCTAAACGCTCAACTTTAAATTTAGAGCGATTTGGACTGCCAGATGTTGTTCCATTAGAAACACCGTTGTTAGAAGAACTGGGTGACATTGAGTTCTGCGTGGCTCTCGAAGATGAGCTGGATGAAGAGGGCGTGGATGCTCCTCCAGACGAAGCGTTAGCATTCGCCTCGCCACCCCCGACAGAGGCGACGAGGGTGGCCATGCTCCGATAAAGAAATCCGAATATGGTGTGTTGGTGGTAAGGCAACAGAGGGCAACAAATGGGTGGAGACTACGCCACGTTAAAGGGCAGACTACTATGAGAAGGAAGAGACGAGAAAAAAGAAAAAGAAAGCAGTCAGGAGTTTATAAGCTTTACAAAAGGGCTAGAACAGATGTAAGTTGAAGTTTTAGTAATTCTGAAAAAAGAAGTATCAAGTTTGTGGCTAAAAGTAAATCACCTAAGAGAACGACTACTGTTTGTGGCTCTTTGGAGCACACAAAACGGTTCGAACAGTCCGCTGACGAACAGCAGGAACACTCTCTGAAAACAATGAAATTCAGTCATAAACTTGAGCGTGACAACGAGAACAAGTGGCAAAACAAAAATTAAAATACGAAAAATTCTATATTTAGTAGAAATTTCAGGAAAACAGGCCGTTTGGCGACAGGAATTACTATGAATGTTGGAACTTGCAGAGTGCAGGTAATCAGATTTGAGCAATTAGCTCATTATCAATTAACAACTTCAAATCTCAATAAGGCAAGGAGTATATGAAGATAGAATGACTTAAAAAGTAAGAAAAGCTTCATTAAAGAAGTCATGTGACAGGAATTGAGGAAACGACGGATGCCAAGGGATACCCTAAAGAACTCCAATTTGCCTGAAGCCTGAATAAATTGATGTCTCAGAATCGATAGAAGGACAGATGAGACTTTCAAGAGTTAGAGATTTTCTGAGAAACTTCGAGGATTGAACTGAAAGAAAAGATAAGCTATCACATAGGATTAGTTAATATCTCGCAAACAGTTTCACACCGATAGATTTCCACAATACTTTTTTCGTTGTCAAGAGGAATAAAAAAGCCAAAATGACGAGACGTTCAATACAAAGTGACTGGGAAGAAGATAAGAACAATTGCGAAAATGATAGGACAGACCGAAGAAGACGAAAACTACTCGAGTTACTAAGCTGACATGAAAAGGATTATCTAGTGCAGAAAAAAAACGACAAAAGTTGAAACTGTAAACTTAGAAAACGGCAGAATAACAGTTGAATATGTAGTCGTGAGGAAGAAATCGAAAGATGAAGGGAGAGAAGAAAAGAATGTGGAGAGGAAGAGAGAAAAAGAAAAAGAAAGAGGAAGGTAAGATGGAGAGTGAAGTCCCTTGAGTCTGGAGAAGTAGAAAAAACATTCAAGGAGCAAGAAAAAGATAATAATAATCGATGGATAGAAGGCCATAAAAAGTAAACAAACTAATCGTTTTTGTCATTATTCGACACGAACTGAGTAATGAAGAATACTTTAGAATATTACAAATCAAGAAGCAAACACAACTGGAGTTTAGATGAAGAAAAGTTTCAATTCAAAAAAGCAATATAAAGTGGTGAATGACAAAGACAAAAATGGTTTAAGAACGTCTATCGAAGCCATTATCATGATGTCATAAAGTTGTTCGAGTCGAGTCACAAAAACTATTATTTTCGGAGACAAAGAAAGTTTTAAGTTGAAAATCAATATGAGCGGGAAGAAGGAGGTTCGTGTGATAACTACAGGATCATCAGATGAAGAGATAGATGTATGGAAAGTATCTTCAAAGAAATCTTTTCCCGCCAAGTCTGCCACAATTGATTTGTAAACTTAGTTGTTCCTAATAAGGGTAGAATATGAGGTTGGAAAATAGAGAAAAGGGAAAGATGAGAGGATAGAAGCCGGAAAAAGACGTGGCTTGACAATAATCCAGCCACCCAAATACAGAGCTCTCCCTATAGTTCTGAAATTCTCGAGTTTTTGAAGATAAGTACGAGTGAGAGAGAAACCGAGAAAAATCCTGCTGTTTTGACCTTTTCATAACATCTTTTTGGAATGTAATCGAAGACAAAACCACGCCTTTATGAATATAGGAATTGGTGTTTTATGTCTCGAGTAAACAGTTCTTTTTAGCCCTTCTCCATCTTCACTCTTCTATTTCCTTTTTTGGTCAGTGTTTCCATTTTGGAACATCCGATTGTAAGGAAATGAAGTATGATTCTTCGAAACATAAGAGATTGAGTTGAATAAATTGATCGATTATGAGAAAGATCAGAGAACTAACTAAAATCTCGAGGGGAACTGGTTAAAAAAGAAAAAGATATAGACTGAGAAGAGCTATGAGCCTCAGCTTGGGCAGAAAGAGCATAGCTTACGGAGAGAGTGGCGAGAAGAAAGCAGAAGCTGTCTCTTGAATGGCTTCGAATCGATTAGTGGCTATGCAGGAAAAGAGGGTAAGAACGAAAAAAGAAATAAGGGGAAATGGGAGAAAGAGACAGGAAGGACAACTTATTCTTCGCAAAAAATCCTCTCTTCACTCATCCACAGAAACACACCGGCAACGGATTCATTCAGCCAATTCCTTTTGAAGTAAGAGATCCATTAAGTGAATGAGAAAAGACCTTCAGTTTCTTCAGAGGTTTTCTTAGACTCTTAGGCTACTTAAGGCATGATTAATTACAGGAACAATGAGGAGACGAAGACAACTGGAAAATGAGTAGAAAAACAAAATTATTTCGGAATCAAGGAAAAGCCAAGATGTTTTTTTCCCGAAAGAAAAAGAGCAGAAAAGGGGATAAACTGGTGATAAGACAGGAAATTAAGAAATTTAAAGAAAGCAACGATACGAGTAAAAAAAACATTAAAAAATAGAATGCTCAGGGCCCAGCACGTTGAAGTAGGGTTGCTTTTGACCTATCGATCAGTAGAAAACACGAAACAGCTTGAAAATAGCTGTGGGAACCTTAATTTACTTGTTAAACTGGAAGATTCGTCAGAGAAAACGATTGTCTGAGAACATATGAATGTGTAAACCCAATTTTCTGTCAAGTAATATGGCTGCTACTACAACACTCATGACATACACTGGCGGAGAGCCCTTCAAAAAAAATAGAAGGAAGACGACTCCAAATATGGACAGGAAGAATGAAAAAAGACATCTTATACATAATCATTGTCAGTTTTTTGATGAGAAAAAGTGTAGGAGGAAGAGGAGGAGAAGTGAGTTCAATGAAAAGAGAATTATAATTAAAAAATTGATGAAATGGATGATGTTAAGAATGAAAGTCCAGTGATTATGGGCAGAAAGGAAAGCCAAACAAAGCTTATTGAGTGACAAATCCATGCTGGAATATGTATGAAAGACGAAGAAGACGAAGCACAAAGACGCATATTTCATGATTCTTCCTCTACTCCATATGTCTTCATCGTTTCTTTCATAATTATTATTTTTTCTTTGCTTGGCTATAAGCTTCTTTTAGTTGGCACTAGAGAATTAAAATAATTACTCGAAGTATAAATATACTGTCAAGGTTTGAACTGAGAACGAGATACCCTTTTCTATTGTTGAAAGGAATCATGTGCCGAGACGCGGGAAAACTTGTAAAAAAAAGTGGAATTAGGGCGCTGGTATTATACACCCAGTCAGAGCACGGTAAAGAAGAGCAATAGTTTAGCCGTTTGCAGTAAAAAAAACAGAGGAAGTGCGTGTGCATATAAAATTCGTCGCTGATGCATTCAGCATTAAAACAGATAAAGTTCAACTCAATTTCAAAAAGCCTAAAGCTGAATAAACAAAAACCTGAGGTAGTCTGAGATTGGAAAATAATGAAAAAGTTTCGCGCGTAGGTGAAGCTCAAAGTACACAAGTAGAGAGAACGAAAATAATCCGATATTTCATAGAACTTTTAGTCTTGAAAACAAGGACATATTCAGAATTTACACATCAGGAATGACGGAGCAGACGAAAATCGAATCAACTTACTTAAGACTGAGCTTTCTTTAGCTGATGACAGAACGACAGCAGAGATCTGTAAATGCGTCACGGGATAAGAGAACGGGTCCGGAAAACAACTGAAACGCGAAAAATTAGCATTGTTTTTTAAATTTCAGCGAGGTTATTTCATCAAAATCTCAAATAGCCAGGAGAATATTCACATGAGAGGGTTTATAATAGACGGAGGCTTTTGTTCATGCCATTTTTTTAAATCGTCACAGCAACAACTTTTCAAATATGGGTAGGAAAAAACAGTTTGTATCATTAACCTTGGGAGATGGCATGTTTCAGAAATGGCTTGCAAATGAAATTCGTAAAAACTAACATGAAATGTTGAAGGTAAAATGAGTCTGTGAGTTGCGTATCCGGCTCTTTTTCCAAGTATTTCCTCAGAGGTTCAGAGTCTGAGCAGACTTTGGGCAAGCGTAAGAGAAGACACAGACTCCACAGAAGCAGAGAGTCTTCTTTCTGCAAAATTGGACAAAAACCATAATCGAAATAAAGAAAAAAAAGTACTTCAACAATCAATCGGACTGTATTGGAGAAAGCTTTGCATAGAAGACTATGTATCTCCGCTGTCGTTCGCTCTTCGTCCTCAGAATTACCTAGATACAATTAAAAGTACATGGGTAATTTCCCTACAAACGTACCTAGAGAATTCAAAAGTGACAAAAAAGGAACTAAATGACGTATTTCATGAAGATTTGTTCCGATACATTCGGTGAGATACAGCTCAATTGGTTGTAACTGGAAATTGAATTTCAATAAAGTGTTGTCGATGAAAATCCGAAAAAAAGGCTCCCCGGTGGTATTCTACGAGACATATCATCACATGTGCTTCTTTTCATCTCAATAATGAACTTTGTACTTATTTTCAATTGAAAACCAAAAGAGAAAGAGGGAATAAGATTGTGAGATAGAGAGAGAGAGAGAGAGAGAGAGAGAGAGAGAGAGAGAGAGAGAGAGAGAGAGAGTGAGAAAATGAATAAAAAGCTGGAAATTAGGGAAAAATAAATATTTTTTTTATTGAAAAATTGGATAAGATGGAATATTCAGCAAGTTTCAAAGTTCGTGAATGAAATTAAAGTTTATCGAAGAGCAGAAAGTTGTCTCCTAAAATACAGCTCATTCAAACTTTACGAGACATCGGATGATTGCCATAAATTCAATGCACAATTCTATCTTTCTCTCTCTCTCTCTCTCTTTCCCTCTCTATTGAAAATCAATCGAAATTATAAGAATAAAGATGTTCGCATATTACATTTCTAGCTGCCGATATGAAGATGGAAATAGTAAAAAGAAACTTTGTGTTCAACCTATACACAGATACACACACACAAACATGAAGACGTACTAACAGTTGGAGAAAAACACAAAAATTCATTTAAATGAGCAAAATAAAGTAATCCGATGAGAAAAACTCTTTTTTCTTCTAGTAAATTTGAAAAAGAAACAAAAAAGAGTAACAAAAACGAACGGAATTGATGTAGGTTGAGTAAAGCAACCGACACAGTCTGCTAGAGATTCGAAAATGATTTTGGTTAGCTTTCAGGCTTCACGTAGAATTTCACGCAAACTCTGTACTACTCGATGAAGATTGAATGAAGTTTATAGAAGACAAATATGGAAATTGTTTTTGACTTCATTATTGGGATTTGTGTGGTTCTTAGCGGGCATATAAGGTAAGAATAGAAGTTCAGCTAACCGAACAGAAATGGCTGCGAAATAAAGCTGAAATTGATGATAAAGAGTTTTTGGGTGGCTGATTTATATGAAAATTGTTTGACGACAGATGACAAAGCTGAAACATTCTGAATAGCAAAGTACGAGAAGCTGGAAAGTTAGTCAGCCAAGAAAGAGGGAGAGAGGGAGAGAGAGAAAAAAAATACGCAGAAAAGAGAGAAAAGAGAACGAGAGAGAAATAGAAAGGGAAAAGATAAATTCGATTGGGTCCGTCTCCCTGAAGACGTCGTCAAAAGACTAAAAGCGTTGATGATGACGATGTATTGAAAGGAGCCTTGATCATACAAGAAGCTGACGACGGCGACGATGAACTTGTGGATTGCCGGAGAAACGTCAGATAGAAATTAGAATCGGATAAAGCTATGGACAGAATGTAAGAGAAGAAGAAGAGTTAATGGTGTTTTGGTGAGAGAGAAGCAAAGTTTATTTATAATTTGTTTACTAACTATACGCATAATTAGTATAAGTAATGAAAATTTTCAAATATGCCTACTACGTGAGGGTTTCATATCGATGTGAGCAAGCACAAAATGAAATGAGCATCAAGGTGACATTTCATTTCCACCCCCTCAAGATGTTGGCGTTAATTTAAGAAAAGTAAAACCATCCGTGCCAACATCCTTTTTGAATCATTGAGGTCAACTTGAGGATTGGACCCAAAAAACGTTATAATCATCAGCTTTCACTGAATGTGCCTTGTAGTCCTACCCAAATAAGATTTGGCTGTTGAAGAATTGAAGTGGAATAAGGATGTTTCCCTCCTGGTTCTTTAGAAAATCTCTTCCTCGTTCTGTTTCTTTTTAACCCCTATCGTTTTCTATCTCTCTCTCACACACTCTATCTCTCTCTTTCTCCCTCTTGCTCTCATCTTATCTCATTCTATCTTTCTCGCTTTCCCTCTATCTTTATCCCTTTGTTCGAATAGTTCTTAAGAAGGAAATACAGATAGTTCAAACGTCATTACTCTCAAATCACCAAAAATCACCTCGGAAGTCAAACGCTAAGCTGAAAACTTTTCTTTTTTTTTCAGAACCCACACGTCCTATGAAAATTAAGACGAAACATTCGTTTTGTGAAAAACATGCAAAATCTGAAAACCTACATGCAACAGCCTGAAGGACGAACTTCAACATCAGTCGTTTCAATTTTCACTGACATTCTATCTAGAAAAGGCGTTTTAATAATTATAAATATATAATTAGCATAATTTAGTGAGAGAAAAAAAAAACAAGCAAATAACGGCATAAACAATCCAAAATGACGTAATGATGATGATGATAATGACACGTGAGTGTTAGACTAGTTGACTATACTAATCATAAGATAAGTAATAAGTAATAAAGTTTTATTGATTTTAAAGTGTTTGGAACGGCCAACTGACGATTTTTGCAGGTAGCTGAAGCTTATGATAGACAAACTGACTAAAATATGTCGGAGATAGATTCATCTAGTTCATCTTGATGACAATCAAAAAGAAAACTGAGCCAATGACGAGTTTCTTCAAAAACTTTCAATGACGGAGATGGTTGGGTGAAGCTCAGCCAATACAGGGAAATGGAATGGAAATTGATGAAAAATTTGGACAAAAAAAGAAGAAAAAGAACTTGCTCTTCCTCATAATCTTTGAGCTTCTTTATCAATGAGCTCACACAATGAGATGACAGTATGATGAGGGAGCGAAAATAGAAAATTAATGATATCGCTACTTGTATTATATTGGGAAATAAACTTGAAAAAGATAATTAGTTAAGTAGCTTGGAGCTTCTCCTTCAAGCTTCACTTTCTTTTCATTCATCCTCCACTTACTCTCCTCCCCCTCTCTCTTCTCACATTCCAACTCATCTCTCTTGAAGGAAAACTGAAACAGAACCGAACAAAAAAGAAAAATGAAAAAATATTATATAAATGATTTGCATATGCTTTGCCCGAACGATAAAGGTGGTCATTTTCAAATTTTAAAGATCAAATAATGAAAGTTATCTGAAAGTCACGAGGAGCATATAACATACAATAAATTAAATTATATGATATATCGTTAAAACATATAATTATTAGATTATCGATTTTGAATTCTTATTAACTTTAACATGACGTCACACGTGTCTCACTTACACATTTTGTGAAGAAGCGTTAAACGTGTCGTTACGTGAACGAGTCATTTGAAGGATGAGCAGTGCACGTCAGAGCGGTTGAGTTTGCTCCCAGACAAAAAAAAAAGCTTGAAGGATAAGACGATTTTCGAAGACATCAAGAGAGTTCCACAGGAAATTCATTTTCGTACTTTTGAATTTTAAAAAAGAATTTTTCAAAAGGAAATCTTTCTTACGGGAAATGAATTTCCTTTGAAGCTTTTTGATAATTTTTTTTGAGATGTGTGATTGAAAAGAGGAAAAACGAATAAAGGAAAGGAGAGAAGACGAATAAGGAGAAGAAGTAGAGAGAGTGAGAAGAAAGAAGGAGGAGTATGAGGGGGACAGAAGAGGTTACTCTAAGAGAGGTAAATGCGATGGGTAAGAGAGTCAAAATGAATGAGTGATGTGACAAAAGAGTGAAAGATCATATAAACTCCATGAAACTACATATCACAATGAGAAGTAGGCTTTTGAATATTCATGTTTAAGCTTTCATTTCATCTTTTACTTTCAAATAGTTTCTGAGTATTCTTTATCAAATATGCTGAAACATATGAAATTGAAACTATAACTCTCCCTCTCTCTCTCTCTCTCTCTCTGTCTCTCTATAGTAATGAAATCGAGAGATCAAGTAAGAATTAAAGAGAAAGAGATTATAATGACGAATGAATATATAAGTTTTAATCATTAAAAATTTTTATAAATTTTGTTGAAAATACAGAATTTCGTAAAGATTCGCAGCTTCAACATGGCCAAGCTGAAATCGAAAAGCCCCGAGGCATAATTAGATTGGAAAAATAGATTTGTCTTTAAGCAATTTTTATGGAATTCTAATGTAGAAAAAACAATAATAAATTACATTTATTAGCATATTTTGATTGAAAGTAACGTTTTGCTGATTAGTAGTAGTTTATAATATGATCTTTCTCCTTATATGGAGAAATCTGTATGCGCTAAGATGTCTGACAAGACACGTGATCAAGCCTCTTGGATAGCTCGATATGCTCCTGATCTTTATTTTTTGTATTTTTCAAAAATGATGTATTTCATTAGACTGAGATTATTGAAGAACGTGACTTCCAGCAAGTGGAGAGAATGGGCTGGAAGGACGCCAATCCTTTTTTGGTCATTCGATGATGACTGATTTTGAGTTGGTTAAGACATGTTTTGGGTCAGAGAATGCCTAAAAAAAGTTGAAAAACGAAGATAATTGAAATTGGGCAAAAACGTGTCCCAGAAACAACATATTATAAACTACTACTAGTGTCACGTGCTGACTTACCTTTCTCTCTATGGCATATGGTTTGAAGTCTTAACGATTAGAGGTTCCCCCACCCCACCACTGTCGTTGGTTTTTGCGATTTTTGAGATTTTCAGAGTACGTTCAGCTCCAGAAGCGATTAAAACCTATTTGTTATTCGCAAAATGCTCAATTTTCCTAAACTTAAAGTGCTTTAATTGGTTATGCAAATTCAATCTTCAAAGCTTGACGGTCATCAATATGGATTTCTAAGAAGGAAGTAGTGTAAGGGATGGGTTCGAGTCCGTGCACAGCCACGTTTACACAAGGAAGAAGAAGAAGAAGAGATGGACGTCTGTCAATTTAATTAAGAATAAAATGAAGTTTTAAATTAAATAAAGTAAAAAACATTTTTAACGACTTTGTATGTTGTGATAAACACTTCCTCTGTTTCCATCCAACCTTTCCACTCTCCTTGTACTCAGCAACCTCTCATATGCCCTGTTGCCCTTATTAATGCAAGTACGAGAGACTTATTCAGGATTGATAAAGCTGTGAATATGCATAGATGAATGATAATGAAAGAGCTTGGGGGGCAAGTTATGAACAGGCTCACTTATCAATTGAATATTCGAGACTTACAACAGGTTTCTAATTATGTGCTTGTCATAATTTCATCATTAGCATAAATTCTCGAATTAATGCAGCCTGTCTTTAGCAATCATATCCCAACCTCTCTCTATCTCTCACATATTCATCTCAACTCTCTAGGATATCATTGATTATCATGAACAAGCCATTTCTTTATCTTAGATTGTTCATTATCCAACTCCTTGAAGCCACTCCTTATTCGTTCATGTGCGAAACCTGTCGATCAGTTGAAGTTCTCTCCCCGGGGTCGTCGCCATCGTCATGTTGTCATCTTCGTTCACCAGAAGATGAACATCACTTTCCGTATCGTCGTATCCAGTATTGTTTCCGAACAATCAGGCGATATTCGAAAATCCTAATTGAGGTCTCGTAATTTCACTTTGACGACCCACCACACATTTCCTTGTCATTTCATTGCAATCAGTCGTCATTTTGCTTTCGTCGATATGAAATGTCTATTAAAATGATAATTTTTTTATTTTTCCAGTCAAATAGTTCTCGAAAATGCTTTCAATTGTTTGTTTCCTTGCTATTTTGGCGCAAATATCTGCTTCCGTCGTCTATATGCATCCTGTGAATCCGGCTCTTCATCCACCTGATATGTATCCAATTCAACGTGAAGTCAGGTAAATGATTTTCAAAATTATCTTCCTGTTAGAATTACCAGTCTCAACTCATCTCTATATATGAAACTATATGTGTTATAGTCACATTGTTTGAGCTTCATTCCTTTATTTGGAAAGATAAAAAATGAAAGAAAGATGTGTTGTTCCATAATCGACCTGACCCACATTTCACTTTTTCGTTTTATCAATGAAAAGAACAAAAAAACTTCGTTAAGAAATGATAAAGTACGCGATTTGCCACAATCGGGAATTGTCTATTTGAAGAAAATTAAACCAATTTCTGATGAATTTTTATTGAGAAGTAAGTATTTTCTTTTGCTGACGTCATCTCAAACTTCAATTTAATCCAGAAGCTGCCGCAGCTGCACGTGATGAACAAACTTTTATAAACAAAGTTGAGCCAGAAGCATTGCGTGAATTACCTGGCACCTCAACTGAATTGAAGGTTTTCTTTAGCTTTATACACTCCTCAGCCTCCTTCCCCTCCACTGTCTTTACCATAATCATGATCCCTCTTTCACTCTCACATCTTCAACTGAGAGTTTTAAACTTTTTTTTCTTATTTTCTTATTCAATAGGAACTGCACAACACCTCCATGCTCAAACAAGAATCACAAGAAAACATAGATTATTCCGTTTATGATGAACGAGATGAAGCTGAAGATATCACAAGCACTGCAAGCACAACCACCACATCTACACCAACTACGGTATTATCTTCTTTTAAAGTTGTTAACACAAAAACAATCCTTTGCAACAATATTCCGATGTGAACTGCATCGTCACTCACCTCCACTTTGCGACATTGAAAACACGTGCAATCCTCAGAGAGATATTCATCTTCTCAGAAATGAATAATGTCTTCCAAAATGTTAGAAGAGCTACGCATTCTCATCAAAAATCTCATTTTTTCCACACCAATCCGAACATTTTCACTTTCATTTCAAAAAAGATATTATTTCTCTCTCTCTCAATCACTCTCGCTCGCTCTCTCTCTCTCTCTTTCTCTTTATAGACAATTTCTCTCTCATTTTCTATCAAAAAGGACTTTTCCATCAATTCCGAAGAGATTTTTCCACCATAATTCTTCCTATTTTCCCATCTTCTTGTTCTTTTCAGAAGAAAACAAAGATTTCCTCCAATGACGACTTGTCAAATGAAACTCTTGAACATCTTGATAACTTATTGGCCGAGTTAACAGCTGAAAGCAATCCGGTACTACCTATCAACAGTACACAACAACAACAACACAAACAATCAATTCAGAAAGTCTCTAAAGCCTTGTTAGAGGAAAATCCCGAAGATTTGAAAGCTCTTGGCAGTTATGAGGTCAGTGTGATACATCAGCTTCCATCAAACTTTCATATAATTTTTGTTTTTGTTTTCTCTTTCAAAGCAGTTTCCATATTTTTCTTTGACAGAAGCCATCTCGTCAGCAATATCAGCCAAAGCTTATAACATTAGCCGGAAGTGCTCGCGTACACAGTGGTATTTGCATATATCTTTTGAAAAACTTTTAAAAAATATATAATTCTTAAGGATCATTCAGTCGTTCATTATCAAAGCAGATTCATAGTGGAAGCGCGAAATTAGTAAAATTACAAAATTCCAATAAAAATACCCATGGCCTCAGGTAATATAGCTAGATAGCTTACAATTAGAGTCTAACATATACTATTATGTGTTAAGAGCAATTCCAAGACAAGCTGATAATGCAGATTTTGATCCATGGGAGCGAATGGGACAACGATTCGTTTGAAAGAGGAAGAGAAGCAATATGAAAAACTAAGAATGTAATTATTTATAATAATATAGTTATATTTATAGAAATAATAAAATATAATTTACTTTTCGTCTTTTGTCTTTCAAAGATAGAAATAGGCAGATGAGAAGAGAGAAAGAGAGAGAGAGAAGAAGGGAATTTGAAACAAAAATATGCAACCGCTCATCATCATGAAAAAAATGAAATGCAACACATATGACGTGATGTTGAAAGCTCAAAATCAATCGATAATCATATATTATACAGATGTATGTTTTGAATTATTTCTGGCTGATGTTACATAACAGTTTTCAGTGATAACTGATTCTCGTCGTAGAAATCGTCCACAGAAGAGGGTCCTGAAACGAATAAGATTCATAATATGCATTGAATGAAGAGAGAGAGGGAGAAAGAGAGAGAGAGTGATTGAATGAAAGTTGATAAACGTAAAATAAAAAAACCTTTTAAGCAATGCTCGAAATTCTCTCATTCGTAAATAGCATAATGGTTGTAATAAGGAATGTAATGAAATATACAAATAACACACGTATTTCACGTAAACGGTGCTATTTTGACGATTTGTAGCAAAATTTCTGAAAATTAGAAGTTAAAAATGAATCATTAAATGATAGATATCGTACTGTGACATGTTAACTAGATGAATGATTTGAATAACAGCATACGTCATAAGGTATGCTGAGTAGACGACGATAACGCTTCCAATAACCACAACATACTTGTGTCTTCGAATTACATGACGTTCTTTCGTCTCTTCTCCTAAATAGCAAATTATTTGTATTTTTGTATTCGAAACTCTCCCAAGAAAGAGAGAGTGAGGGAGAGAGAGAGAGTGTGTGTGTAGGTAGAGATGAAGGAGGGATTGATGAGATGAAGAATAAATTAACTTTTCATCCTAAAGAGGAGCAAAATGTTTCAAAAACAATATAATGTATGAGAAATAGGGCGGCATAGGATCAAAATAAATTATATAATTATTATAATTATGCTAACTAGTTTGTAAGAATTGTTGAAAGAGAGTTTGATCAGGAATGAATATCCTATTTACCTGTCTTTAAATGTTCAAATTCTGCATTTTGTTTCATATCAGCTTGTACTAAAGAAGATATTACTCTGCAAATGGAAGAAAAGAAAAAAAAATAGAAAATTAGAATATGCAAATGAGATATTACCGTAATAGAATGAAATAGGAACAAGCTGTTATGGCAAAACAGACAGCACAGAAGACAATTAAGCCGACGTGATAAGCAAAATGTGATGATGTTGATGAGTTTATGTTAATTACACATGATGATGTACTATTGGCTATATAATTAATATAATTAATTAATTATTCATTATTCATATATACCATTAATTGTGCATTCTTGATCAATCATAATGCTTTTACTCATTGTCCCCGCTACCATATTAGCCAATGTGAATGTTGACGATATAATCCATGTGACAATCACAAATAAAACAACACGACCTCTATAACATTCAAATCTTTCAATCTCAAGAGACATCTTCTTCTTTCTATTTCTCTCTCTCTCTCTATAATTCTCTTTCTCTCTTTCTCTCTCTCTTTCTCTCTCTATTTATACTTTTGTTTCCAAACTTTTTGAGATTTCCGCTTCTGCTCATCACATCTCTCTTTATTTCTTTTATATTTTTGTTATGTTTTTTTTGTACACAAGAATTGTTCTCGAACATTCTTTTTGAGATGTTTTATCAGCCAATTTCATCTTGTAGACTATGCGGCTCAAAGAAAGCTTCTCTCTTCAGTCGTTTTAATTTTTATAAAAGATGAAGGAGACAGATGAACAACTTACTTTGTAACTAGGCTTGAATAGCGTAAAGGATGACATATGAAGATGTATTCATTCAATGTTATCATTAATAAGTTGAGTATAGTTGCCAAATTAGAAAATCTGAATATGGCTGTATGAGATAAACAACCTTCCGAACCTGAAGCATCAAACCTCAATAATAGTCCGCTGTATTGATCAACTCGTATTGTCCATAAAGAATCTGTTGTACCCATATCAGATTTGAGCAATTTTAATGCAAATAAAATTGAACAAATTCCTTAAATGGTCATATGATATGCTTGAGAATGACTTCACCGAATACCTTTTAAGGTGTCAATTAAAGTAAAATTTAAGATCATTATGTAGAATGTGTGAGCAAATGTAGTTCGTTTTCTAGCCATCAACGTGTATAGGAACGTTGAATTTAAAATAATCGCTAAGCTTCCAAGTACGATATAGGATATTCCAAAGCCTCGAGCAGAACTCTCCCAGTCGCCAAATCCATCTTCGATGGCATCTATAAGCATCGATAAAGCTATTAATGAATCAGTGACATACCTTGTAATGAAGTATCTGATAACTTTGGGCTTTTTTGACTTTTAAACCATCGAAGTATGTCTTCACGCGTTAAATTTGAATTTTCCATTTAATTTCCTCAAATAGCAGTGGTTAGCGTTTTATGATGATGCAGATAGAGAGAGAGAGAGAGAAAGAGACACAAAGAGACAAATAGATAGAGAGAGTAAGTTGGAAGAGAAAAATCTTTTCTTATCGGACAGCCAAGCATAACGATGAAATAAGAAAAGGATTTTTGTTTGTTTTTTTTCCCGAAAAAGAGAGCACAACCGTTTATTGGCGTCCGAATAATAAAAATGGCTTAAACTCACGTGAACTTCACGTAAAACCAAAAATGGAGAGGAAAAAACAATAAAATGCAAGAAAATATGAAAAAAGGAGAGAGTAAGTCTTCAGTCATTCAAAAAAAAGAGAAAAAAAAGCTTTTCAGGTAAAACAATGAGTACATAATAGGAGAGAAATAATTCAGCTTATCCTCAATGCCTAATAGATGTGTGGATGATCATAGAGAGAGAGAGAGAGAGAGAGAGAGAGAGTGAGGGTGTAGTCTGCTGGTGTTATAAAATAAGGAATGGTGATCAATTAAGAGATGTTAACACTCAACTTCATTTTATTGGAGAAGCAAGCATTATAAGAGGGAATAGAAGTCCTTAGAGAGAAGTACTAAGGGGTTTGCTTCTCAAAGAACCACTTGATACAGTATGGTAATGTTAGAGAGTTTAAAGAAATACAGGATGAGACATATGTCTCACTATAAAAAAGAAAAAAAATAGAAAAAGCGGAATGAAGAGAGAGAGAGATAGAGAGTTGAGAGAAGGAGAGAAAGATATATATAAGGACAGTGCTTTGATCTGTTTTGGGTTTTTGATGAGAAGAAGTTTAATCAAAGACTTTCCGCTTCATTGAAATGAAACTGCTTGATGACCTTTTCTCCGTCCAACACATTGTTGGTTTTAAATTGGAAAGAAATGTTTCAGATAGTCTCTTCATCTATAATTCTATAATTGAAATACAATATAACTTAATTAAAATAATAAAAAAAGGAGAATTTCGTTTTCTTTTTGTCTTCTCGCTTCGTCTGTCTACATCGTCGTTCGGCGTCGTCGTTGGCATCGTCGGAAGACAAAAAGATGGTCGTTCTCGATGAGAAAAAAAAAGCGAGGAAAATACAATCTGAATGTCTATCTCTCTCATACAATCATGTTATCTATCGTATTCTCTCTCTAGCATTGCCGTTCACTCTAGCATTTTCCAAAAACCTAATTAGGTGCAAAAGAATTCTTCCTCTGCACAAGCAGAAAGTCCAAATTCGGAATTGGTGAGTGTTTCGTCGGACAAGAAAGGAAAAGTTGAAAATGGGGTGTTGGTAGAAACACATGGATAGCGTTGCGTTCGAATAATGGAACGAATGAACTTTATGAGAGGGCGAAAGAAAAAGAAAAAAAGATGTCCATTCTAAGCAAAAATTGATGAGCAAATCACATTTTTTTTGGAAAAAATGAAGAAACAAGAAGCCATAGGGAATTGGGAGTTGTAATTTCAGAGAGTAAGAAATAAAAAAAACAAATTTTGTACAGAAATGGGATAGATGAATCAAAACGGAATTGAAGAGGAGAAGGAGAGCAGTAGGGTGAAGGGGAGAAGGACGGCAATAGAGGAAGTTATCTTGTAAATAAGAATAAAGGATGACATGTCATCATGAGAAGAAATGATTTCATGTCATTTTTTGGTGGCTCCTAAGGGATGGTTGATCGCTTTCACGAGCATCTTTACAATGTTTCACGCAATGAGCTTTGTCTTCTACTTCATGGTTGCTTTTTCTTTTCATCTTCTTCTTTCTTTTTTTTATTTTCTTCAATTTTGATGCGACCAGAAGTTCGCTGTTAAATGGAAATGAGAATGTGATGAGAGGTTTGCGACAGCTTCAATAACCACGACGTCTCCATAATCATTGAGTGACGGTAGCAATTATAGCGTTATGCAGCAAAAAAGAAAATTTTCTGATAAAAAAAAGTATTGTAAATAAGGTTTTTGAGAAGGCAAAGAAACAATGAAATAAAAGGAAATGAGATTGAGAAGCCCTGAAAACAAGACGAAAGATGTGTGAATAAGTAAAAAAGAATTTTTACCCCCCTCCCTCCCTCCCTTCATCCCTCCCTCTTTTTTCTTTCCTTCCTGCATGTCTCTCTGTTTATCTCTCTTTCCCTCTATCCCTCTCTCCCTCCCTCTCTTTCCCCTTTTTATAGATCATTATACACCTTTCCTATTTCCCTCTGGCTGAGATTACGGAAAGCCTTCGCTGCCACCTCTTTCTTCTCCTCAATCCCTCTCAAACTCAAGAAATTACTTTTGTAGAAACTTTTTCATTTAAATTTTATCATCTAAATGTTTTCTATCATTTCTCATCTTCTCTTCTCTCTGTTCTCTGGTTCATTACCTGTAAGCTTTCTCTCAGCATTACTCTCTATAAACCTCCCTCTAACTGTTTTCTCGCCACACTCACTTGTCCCGCTCTATTGCTCTCTCCCACTCTCCTCCCTCCCTCTCGTAAAATAAGGAAGGAACTGTTTTTCGTTACGAGAAATCAAGCTGATCTTTTTCTCATTTGATGCAATTTGAAACATCTACTTGTTTCCTTGTGCTGATCCAAAAACTCCCTGAAGGTTGATAAGAAGAGCTTTGATCTCTCAAAAAAGAAATTATTTTTGTATTTTCCAACATGAACTTTTCATTATAAACATGAACAGAATAGAATACTGATGAGAAATCTTGAAGAAATGACTAACTATACGTACATATAAGTTCTAAATGAGAAAAACAAAAAATTCAATTAAGAAATTCAAATATTTTATGTGTCACTTACACATTGAAAAACAGATTTTTGTAAATTCTCACACGTTATTAATAGAAGAAGAAGCATACAACATCTTTTCAATACAAGCTTCACAGAGCCTCAATCATCTAGTGAAATTTGGAAAAGTCTAGGTTTCTATAAGAAGAATGAGTGGGAGGAAAAGATAGAATATTAAGAGAGATAGGAGGAGAGACACTGATAGACTACCATAAGAATAGAGATATAGAGAGAGATAAAATGAATAGAGAGAGAATAGAGAGAGAGAAATGCAAAATGTGCAAAGGGTGAGGCTTATGAGCGATGTGTCCATTTACGGACAAGCAACTCATCGCTCTGTCAAAAGGAATTGATAAAAATGAATTAAAACGTTTAAAACGACAGATCTTCCCATTGTACTCACTTCAAACTTTCTTCTCCTCCCTCTTGCTCTGGAAAATTTTCTTTTTGAGTTTGCCCCCTCTCACATTTACTTTACTCTCTAGATCTCATTGCATTTCAATTGCTTCCTCTTTCTGTCTTAACTTTCCTTCAGGCATCTCCCTCTTTACTTTCTACTTTCATAATGAACACATATGTTTATTAAGTAAGATAAATTTAGATATTCTTCCGTTAAAAATAGAAAAAAAAATTTTTTCGAATGAAAACTGGTCAACATCTTCATCGACCCATTAAGCAACAAGCTTTTGGCTTCTCTCTCTCTCTACTCTCACCGGCTCTTCCTTTCTTCTTTTCGTTTTTCAGTTGTGAGAAAGTAGGTTTATGTCCATCTTTCCTTACATTTTTAAGTGAGCGTCTTCCATTCGTACATTCTTCTTCTACAACTCTCAAAGTCCATTTGAGGCTTCAGGGCAGAACTAAGAGAGAGATAGAGAGAGAAGGAAGAGTTAATTGAAATTTTCTTCAAAACCAAAATCATTTAAGGAATTCTCATTAATCTGTCTACTCGAATGCCATTTTCTACTTCAATTTTAAAAGAGAAAAAAAATGTGCCAAAGAAGGAAGAGCAGAAAAAAAAATGATGTTATCGTTTGTCAGCTGGTTGAAAAGCTTGACGAACAAGCTGAGAATCAAATTACTTAATTCTTTCAAATTTTATTTCCCTCTACTCTCAAACGGGTGGTAGGGATAGGACATGATGAAATGAAAGGAAAAAAAAACGAAGAAATCTCCGAAAAATCAAAAGAAGTGTGAGAATAAAAAAGTTGGACAAATGAACTGAAAGTTTTCCATAAAAGGGTAGAAAGTCAAAGTGAAGAATAAAAGAAGGAAAGCTCTCGCAAAGTAACAGAAAATGTTAAATTTTCATAAGAAAAATACCTGAATGGATGGAAAAGTTGAGGGACAGAGAGGTTAAGAGAGAGAGAGAGAGATAGATAGAGAGACAAGGGAAAGACAGAGAGATAGAGAGAATCAATGGAGCAAAAAGAAAAAAAAGTTTTGAAAAGGTAGAAAAACCGCGGAAAGGAGCTGGGGGTAGAAGAAAGAGAGAATACCAAAGAAGAGAGAGAGAAAGTGAAAAATGAAACAAAACAACCGTTCAAGAGCTGGAGCTGCAAGGAAACTGATATTTCCACGTTTTTCACGTGCACGAGCGTTTATACAGCTTTTCATGCTTTCAGACTCATTTAGTCTTCTCTTTGTTAAATTCAAATTTATGGAGGAAGTTTGACATCCAAACGGCTTTTTGTCCTCTTAATGAGTTGTTACTCGAAACGTCCTAGTTTGTAAGCGGAAATAGAAACAACATAATATAAATTATAACATATAGTTAACGAATGGAGTCTATTCCATAAGATAGTATCCTTTATCCCTTTATTCCTTTCTCTTTTTCACTCCCACTCTCTTCATTTGTCTCTGTCTCCTTCTGGCTACTCTCTTCATTGGTGAGTAAGAGAGAAGAAGAGGAAGAGAGTAGAAGAAAGTTTTCATCAACTTCCATAAATGGGAAGGAAAGTAGTCAAAAACATATTTTTATGTCAATTTTTAGGCCAAGAAGGACAAGCTCAGCGTGATTTGGTCATGGTAATGGAAGAAGAGAATAAACAATCAAGAGGAATCAATATGAATGAGGAATTATAAATAACAATAGAGAAGATGATTAAATTGTCTTTCGGTTAAGAGATAGAGAGAGTGAGGGTGCAGAAGAGATGCTAAGTCTCCCTCTCTCTTTCTCTTGTTGTGAGGGAATTACTTTTGGAATCCTTCTTTGACAGTCC